ATAACCTTGCTCACAAATTTTAGCCTACGAATAATCTTGCTGAGTGTTAACTAGAATATGTTGCTTACTACTCGCAAGAAACCCTACTTAGAGGCTTTCAGAACAAGCATAATTTTATTCATTTTTACCTCGAATCCCTATCCTTATTGTAGAAATTGTATAGGTATATCGCGAACGAGCCAAGCGAGGTATAATACGCGATGCGGCGTTCCTATAGTAGGAGTCCTCCAAGGGTCCAGGCTTCAGGCCCCTCTACTTAGGAGGAGGGATATCATTGGGGGGGAGGGGGGGCCGAGAACGCATAGAGCACAACCATACGGTTATATATAACGCACACGTAACACTTACAACAACCGTCGCACTCTGCCCGACGTTGAACCAAAACTGAGCACTACGACGAATGCCGCACTTCTTTTTCGTCGTGTGGTAGCAGCGCTGTAGCACGCCGTTCGGCGAAGCAACAGGCTGAAACGACGAGTCGGTGCCGGGGCGCATTCTGCACCCGGTCCGCTGTCGTTCGCCTTCCGTCGAAACGCGAAAGTAAAAATGGGCGGTGAGGGTGGGTAAAATCTTTGAACTCGTCGAGCCAGAGTGCTAGCGACGGCCGTCGTTAACGGTTGTTACTGCACACACACGTGTATTTCACAACAACCGTCGCACTCTGCCCGACGTTGAACCAAAACTGAGCACTACGACGAATGCCGCACTTCTTTTTCGTCGTGTGGTAGCAGCGCTGTAGCACGCCGTTCGGCGAAGCAACAGGCTGAAACGACGAGTCGGTGCCGGGGCGCATTCTGCACCCGCCGGGCGCACCGACTCACCACCCAGCGCCGGCTCAGAAGTGAAAGCCGTTGGCAATCTCCAGGAGGTCGTTCGCCGCCTCCGTCGTGGCATACTCCAGGTCCTGAGCCGACCGGGCGAAGATCGAAAGGATCTCGTCGGTCGGCGTGGCGACCCAGCGCCATCCTTCTGCCGTCGCCCTGCTGAAGTCGTCCCTGGACACGGTGTCGGCGACGTTGGCCTTGGAGGGGACCCGCTCGAACTCGACGAACCATCCTTGGTGCGCCGCGAGCGTCCAGAAGGCGGATATCATGGCGTTCACCGCCGGGTCTTTCCCGTAGCCTTTGGTGAGTGCTGCTTGTCCGGCGGTGTTGTCGATGAACACGACGATGGCTGGCGGCAACCGAGCGCCGAAGGTGACGAAGGCGACGAGTTGGGCCAGCACCTCCAGCATGTATATGTACGCCTTCCTCGTCGAGAAGAGCTTGACGAACCAGTTCGGCGCTACGCCGTGATCGAAGAAGACCTGGTCGCCGATCCGTAGCACATAGCTCCAGCCGTTTGCTGCCTTCTTCGACGGTCGCACCCCCTGGGGTACGTGGCCTGCCTTGTGCTTGACCTCTCCGTCGGTGAAGAAGGCGTCGGCGTACAAGACCGCCACCTCCAGGTCCTTGGCGTCGAACGGGATGAACCTGGGGCGGATCGTCGGCAGGATTCGAGCCAGCGACCTTAGTGCCGCTGTGAGGCCGTCGGAAAGGGTCTGCCGTCCATGCCGCTGAGTCGGCTGCTCTGGCGTATACAGCCTTCGTCGCGGCCTTCGCGACGGACCCGAAGGCCGCCTGTCTCAGGAATGACACCCTTCCGGCGAGTTTGGCTGCTCGGTGGGTGAGAGGCAGTCCTGGTCAAGGGCTTGGCGGATCTGTTCCATAATCTTCTGGACCCGGATCTCCGTCGGTTTTAGGGTGACTCCTTGTACAAGGAACTCAACACCTTGTACGACGTGGCTCTTTGCCGGGTGCTGTACCTTCGACGCCTTGGTGAGGAAGTCCAGCGCCGTGAAGAGGTCCTGGAAGAAGATCATCGTCGACTCGCCAAGTAGGGCGTCGTCGAGGCCGTTAAAGTCGTCCACGTAGTGACCCGTCGCTAGGAGCAGAAGGCCTCTGAGCAGCTGCTGTAGGGCGTCGGCTCCCCTGTTAAAGTTCCAAACTGACGCCGTGGCTCCAAAGTTCATGGCCAGGTGGTACCAGAAGGTCACGCCATGCTTCGTCGAGAGGAAGGTGCCGCACTCCGCCGGCCGCCGAACCGGCCACTGGCGATAAGTGTTGAGTAGGTCGTTGCCGTAGACCACGACGTCGGGAGTGTCCTGTACCATGCGTCTTGCCAGGTCGACGAAGCTGCCGATGAAGTGGTGCGTCGGGACATCGTCCACCGCCACCGTCGCATTGTGTCCGCTGCGTCGCCAGTCTTCGGCACGCCGGACCTTGAGGTCGCCTTTCTCGTCGGTCTGACACACCGGAAAGGAGCCTGCCAGGAAGTGCTCGCCTGGCGGCGGTTCCACCAATGTGTCGGCCTCGATCTGGTCGGGGACCGTCGTGGCTCTGACGTGGATCCATGATGGCGCCGTCGTGGGGCCTATGACTCTGCCCAGCTTCTTCTCGGCGATGAGTTCCTGCAGCAATTGATCGGCGAATTCGCCGCCGTCAAGCTGGGCCACCTTGCGGCGAACATATTCGGCGTTGGTCCGGCGGAAGGTGTCCATGTCCGTCGGATTTTTGTAGCGTCCGTCGTCTCGCTTCCGCCATCCTGGACCCGGTCGGATGTCGCCGATCATCTGGAAGCCCTCCGTCATGTCCTGCTCAAGGGAATGGATGTCGGGGTACTCGACGAGGCGGAGCAGGTTCAGGAAGACCAGGACCTGTGTCGGCGCTGGTTTGTCCGGCGTCGAGTAAGTGGCCCTGACCCAAGCCGATCTTGCGGCGAGCCACTCCTGGGTCTCGTCGGTTGCGTCGTCGATCATGGTGCGGACCTCGTCGACCACCTCGCGTCGAATCCTGACCAGCTCGTGGCGCCAATCGCGCCGTATTAGCAGAAGTCGCTCCCACGCCGGTTCCAGAGGGGCGTCGGTCGCCAAGGGGTGTGCCATGGTCCAGGACGCCGTCTAGTGCTCCTGTTCGTCGAGGTCCTGGATGTAGGTTGCGCCGGGCCGAGGCGGGGCTGGAGCCATGATCGGACCGCCGGGTCCCCACAACGACGCCACCCACTGTAACGTCGATCGGCGAGGGGATCTTGGCACTGGCGTCGCCGTCGCTGGTGCCGTTGCCGTGAAGACCAACAGCGCCAAGAGAAGACGTCGTGCAACTCCCCAGTGCCACCCGTTGCCAATAAGGCGATGCCGAGTACGATCGTCGAGTGCTCCGGCGGTGGATCTCGCCGTGTAGTCGGCCGGCATATGGTGAAGCTGCTCTTTTACCTTCGGCGGTAGTATGTGTAGTCGGCCTTGGTCGTCGGTCAGCATGGCGTCTCTGGCGTAGTGCCACGGCGCAAATTGCCGTCCGCCGGTGAGCCACCTCTGCTGGGTGTCCGACGTGATCTTCCCTCTCGTCGACCGTGGTGCCGCCCTGCCTCCCTCGTCGGCTGCTGGTGTCGTCGCACATGGTAGTCTAACCCTACCACTGGCGACGGAGTCCGAGAACTTGAGGCCGTCGAGGTCGAAGTCGTCGGGTGCTGCCCTGGGGGAGTCCAGCCGCAGCCGGTTCCAACGTCGGTGGAGAGCCCATGTCCAGTGCTCTCCCGTCGACGGGTCGCGAGGTAAATCCTCCCAGTCGATCGTCGACCACCACAGGCGGGACCTTCCTATCCATCCGAAGTCGGCCGCGTCGGTGAGGATGGGTTCGCACTCCAGTGCTTTGGTCGCCGCCGCCGCGTCTGCCTGCGTCATCTCGACGTTTTCGACCAGTTTCCCAAGTCGTCGAGGTGCGATCAGCGGCGCCAGCTCGGCGACGTACTCGGCAGTGAAGTTGAAGAGGTATCCTCGATCTCCGCCGTGGCCCGCTCTGTCGCCGATTCTTGAAAAATCTTGGCACGGCGGCGCGGCAAGGAATAGCTGGGCGTCGGGGTCAATCGCGTTGATGTCCTTGGCCAGGGCCTTCGGCGTGTCCTCCGTGATGTCGCCGCGGTGCCGGACGTCGGGGATGTGGTAGTCGATCACCTGTATCGCCGCCCGGTCCACCTCCCATGAGAAGACCGCCCTGGGTGGGCCCACCAGGTCCCACACCAGCCACGGGCCTGCGCCCGTCGAACGCCGACAGCAGGATCACCTCGTCGCCCTTGGGTCGTCGTCACCGGGGGCTGTCGACGGGGCCCCGTGCTGTCCCTAGCGGCGGTTGCCCCGGCCCTGGCCGTTGCCGCGCCACGGGCGTTGGCCTTCGGCCTGGCTGGACTGCCCGCCGTTGCCGCCGTGCCACCACTGTTGGTTCTTCCCGTCGGTCTTCTGCTGCCACCAGCCGGCGTTGGTGTCCTGCTCGTTCTTCTTGCCGCCGCCTTGGGACTGGTCTTTGCCGCCGCGTCCGCGCCCTTTGCCACGGCCCCCTTGACGTCGTCGTTTGCGGCCGCCACGGCCGCCGCCACCCTTGCATGCCTGCTGGTCGTCGACGTCGTCCTCCTGGCCGTTGGGGGCGTCGGTGCGGTCGACGACGTCCTTCTCGGTCCTCTTGGCTGGGTTCGGCGTGGAGAGGAGGATCTCCTGCCATGTCGCCACGTCGTCCATGATCTCCTTGGTGGCCTCGCCGAACGATTTGTTGTTCCTGAGGGCCATGGCCAGGTTCCACGTTCGCTGCCAGTAAGCCTGGAGGGCGACGACGTGGTTGGATTTGTCCCTAGCTCGTGCGACGAACCAGTCCACATACGTCATGACGTCGGCTTCCTCGCCGATTCCCAACAGGATCCATGCCCAGCGTGCGGCGTTAGCTCCGTCGATGGTGGAGAAGAGGCCCTTGGGCACCCACTCCGTCGGCTCCTCCTGCAACAGGACGCCGTGCTCCAGCCGCAGCGCCTTGGAGCTGGCCGCCGACGTCGACCTAGACAGCGCCAGGGGATTTAGAGTCCGGGCCGCTGTCCAGGTGCGTCGTGACACTATCTCGCCGAGCGAGACCGGCGGGTACATCTTTGATGTGGTGTGCTCGAACCACATCCTTGCCAACACCTCTTCGGCGCCGAGGAGCTCATGAGCCGGGCAGGTCCGGCGCTTCCCGTCGAGGCGTCGCTCCTCGAAGATGTTGACCTGTTGGTTCCACGCCGAGAAGGTCTTCGGTGGTCTGTCGGGGATGGCCGGCGTGGCTGTCGAGGCTGGTGCCGCAGGAAGGGCCGGCGTGGCCGCTGGTGTCGGGACTGGCGACGCGGCTGCCGCGGTCCACTGTCGGGTGGCCTCGACGAAGAGATGGGTCATCACCGCCGTTGCCACGTCGTCTTGCCCGTCCTCCACCTTGTGGTCGGTGCCGTCGATGCGGGTCCCGGCGATGTAGGGGTGTATGATGTGCGTCGTGAACCTCTCCACATCCTTGGCGATCAGGGCCAGGGTCGGCGTCGTGGTAATCTTGCGCGCCTTGATGTAGTCCTTGATGCTGTCGTTGGCGCCGGCCGCCGCGAGGAGGTCGTCGAGCTGCACCATCGAGGCCGCCACCGTGGGGAGCGCCATGGCTGGCGGCGGTAGCGTCGACCTATGTCGGGGAAGGGGCAACTCGAAGAGAAAAGGGGGCTATGGGTGAAACACCGTCGGCACATGTCGGGCGCGAGCCCTCGACGGTCTCTCAAGTAACTTCGGAAGTCGTTTCAAGACTGCGTCGTCGAGTGAATGGTCTGGTCGGTGGGGAGGACCACGGCGATTGCCGGCGACCCCGTGACTCCTCACAAAATGGCGACGGTAATCCGTCGATCTGTGCCCTGCTCGGCTCAGTCGGAGTCCGACGTCGCTCCGCTAGTGGAGGACGATGAACTCGACGACGAGTCGACCGCCTCTGGTGCCTCGACGTCGACTGTTTCCGTCGGGAAGCACTTGCGGCACAGTGCCGGCTCCGGCGGTAACTCGGCCAGGCGAAAGAACTGTCGTACGCCGTATGGCCAGCCGCACCGGGCCTGCCGGTCGGACCTCTCTGTCGTCGTCTCGTCGACCCCTCGCGTGTGCACCATCTTGGTGCGGCAGTTCATGACATACCGGGGCGCCGACTCGCCGACCACGTCGTCGATTGGCATCCTGACCGGCTCCGGCACAAACTCGACGCCGGGCACCTCGGCCGCAAAGTCGACGTCCGGGATGGCCGGGTGTGGCTCCGGCACCGCCCCAGCTGCGTGCCCTGCACACCTGCCGGCCGGCGTTGAGTCGAGGATGGCTGCCGGCTGAGACGACGTTGCCAGTGGGGCTGTCGTCGGTGTGGCCGAGCTCGTCGCGGCCAAGGCCTGGGCTGGTACGCCGGCTGCCACGGCGAGGGGTGCCTGTTGAACGTATCTCTCCACGGCGGTCGACGCCCAGCGGCCAAGGAGCTGGATCACGGCGACCGGCACCCCCCGCATGGCTAGGAAGGTCGCTCCAGCCACCCGGGCGGCGTGACCGCCGAATATCAGGCTTCGCTTGCCTTGGTCGTCGAGGTACACTGTCTCGAACCCGGCGGCGTCGAGCACCATCCGGAACATCTCGGCGGACTCCGCTTTGGATCTTTGCGCCGACGGCCGTGTCGGGAAGAGGAAGTCGGCGGGCGATGCCGCGGCTGATGCCTGGATCCGTCGAAGATGGCGATGTGCGGCGCATCTCGGGCACAGGGGATGGGCCGTCGTGGTGCAGACGCACCGGAAGGTCCGACGAGTCAAGTCGGTCTGACCCCCCTGCGCCGTTTTGTGCAGCGGTATGTCGAGTGACACCGCCGCCAGCGTCACCACCAGGTCCTTGACCCTGGCCGCCGCTAGCTCCACTTCCCTCAACATGAACCACGTGGCGACGATAATAACGTCGACCGCGTGTGTCACCAGGCCGACGTTGAAGGCGGTGAACGGCGCTGTGGCGTCGACCAGCTTGGCGAGTTCGTCGAGGTCGAAGGCCTGCTTGAGCCTGGATCCCGACAGGCCCCTCGCCGCCGCCTTGGTCAAGGTCTTCACCACACGTCGAAGTTCCGGCGGGACCGGCATGTGAAGTGTGTTCTCTTGGTGCCACACCACCGCGTCGAGATACAGCCCTGTGGATCTGTAGCCGGCGATGCGCATGGCCCCGGCGATGGTGTGGAGCTTGGTGGCGTCGAGGGGGAAGAGGTTGAATAGACCTCTCTCCGCCAGGGAGGTCACGGTCCTCACCCGTGACTCCATGGCCCGACGAGTAGAGGATGCCAACAGATTGGCGTCGATTGCGGCGAGCGTCTCCTGGCGTCGCCCTCGTGGCATGGCCCGTCTGGTCGGCACGTCGTGCCTGGGCCGCCGTGCCGCTGGTGGCTCTGTCGGCTGCGGCGGGACCGGCGCCAAGATCTGGAGCAACAGTCCCTCCGGCACGCCGTTCTCCAGGAGTACGGCGAAGAACTCTCTCACTGCCGGCGTGTTGATGGCGCCGAACCTGGCCAAGGTCGCCACGTAGGCCGAGCCGCCCGCCGAAGCGACGTCGCGAAAGAAGTCGGCGACTGTCCTGGCTGTGCCTGGCGTCGTTGCCGTGGAGTCCATGATGGCTTGGGGTCGTGCTTGAGGTTGCTGCGTCGGGGACGCCTCGAGCCAGGGCAGAAAAGGCTGCGGCGGGAGCAGAAAAGGCAACGGCGACGACCGAACGAACGAAGAGAGAGAGAGAAGCCGACAGCGATAGCAGGCGCGACGGACGAGGCTGCAGAAGCACGGCGGTCTTTTTGTCGGGTGCGTCGGGCTCCGCCAAGAAGGCACCGTGCGGCGCTATCGCCGTATTGAAGCAACTCTGGCGACGACGAGGTCGTCGGGGAGAAGATGAATGACGGCAACGTCGGGCTCCAATCCTGCCCCCGTTGTCGTCGACTGCCGTCGCGGTGCCGACCCGATGGCCGAAGCCGGGTGACAATGGCACCCGCGGGGCGTCGTGAAGGCTCAGTCCTGTGCGCCGATCATGCCGTGGCATGCGGCGCACTCATGGCCGACGTGATCACGGCCGTTGTCCATCACGACGGGTCGCAGACAGCGGCCAAGGCCAGGCTGGTCCACGTCGTGCAGATCGCCGAAGTGAGGACAATACGGCGAGGTATATGGATGCGAGCACCACCCGACCACACGGCGACCGGCTTCCTGGCTTTGCCACGGAATCCTGGCGCCGCGTGTGTTGGCGGGCAGCGTCGAAACATACCAATATGCACAATATGTGGGCGCCGAAATCGGCGGCGGCTTAGGCTTATGGCCGTCGATCCCACGTCGATCCTGGTTCTCCTCCTCGATGACGTCGATGAGCGTCGGCTTGAGGAGGTGCCTGATCGACTTCGGCGGCTCGTCGACCGCCCTGGCCCCAGGGCGGTGCATGGCCTTCTTATGCCGGCGGTAGTCGTCGGACATATTGAGCTCGATCTTGGCGATCCTATCGTCGCTGAGGTGCTCCCTGAAGCCCGCCGCCGTCTTGGATCTCGACCGGGCTCCCGTCGGCGTCGTCGTTCTGGGGGTGGTCGTCGTGCCGGGAACCTCCGTCGAGCTGGCTGCGGGTCTGCCGGCCGCGCCCCCGGCGGGAACATCCAATCCGGCCGGTCGTGTGCCACTGCCGGCGGGGTCGGCGCTCGGCGTGTGGATGCCCTTGGGCTCGGCGGCGTGGACTGCCATGGCGTCGATGCGGCTGACAGCGGCGGGAAATCAGCCCTGGCCGGGGGCGTGTCTACAACCGGGGTGGCGGCGGATCCATGGCCGGCCGCTCGCCTCGGCGCGTCGATCTCCCCCGGGTCGTCGAGCCTTGGCTGCCAGCCGTCGAGACAGCGGCGTCATCCTGCCTCGGCGCGATATCTCGGAGCAAGGTCGCCGCCATGGTGATGACCTCGTCGGCGGGTTCGTCGCCAGTTGTGGTAGCCGGCGTTGGCGCCCCCATGATAGCGTCGGGTCGTCGTGTGTTCTGGGGCGGTGCCCGCACCCGCTGCCCGGCCTCGTCGATGTAGTATGCCGGGGTCGCCGTCCCCGAAGGCATCGTCGACTGGGCTTCCATGGCGGCGAGTCCGGGGAACCCTGCGACGGTCGGCGATGCTATGGTCTCAGACTCCCTCGTCTCCGTCGGGTCCAAGAAGGCCGTGGCGGTCCTGGTCGTCGATGAGGTGGGAGCGTCGAGGAACACCATGCCCGAGACCTGGGAGTCGTCGCCTGTCGTCGTGCGCGGCGGGGGGTTCCACCTGCACCTGGCTGGCCCACGCCGTGGGCGGTGCCCCGACGTTCTGCCGCAGCAAGTTGCCGTCGGTGTACTCCCTGGGCCCGTCGATGAGGTCGGCATAGAGGGCACCATCGGTGCTCTCCCGGGACCCGTCGAGGTAGGCGTCGTAGTACCATGACCCGACGGTAGCGTCGGAGCAGCCTTCATCTGAATCGACCCCCCTATCGTCGTGGTCCTCTGTGGGAAGAGGCGCCCCATGTAGGCCTGGCGCTCCGCCTCCGTCGGTAGGACCATCGACGGTACCACAATCATCACGGCGACGAGCTCGGCGAGGGCTGTCCTGTCCTCCATCCCCAAGTTCGCCGCCAGCTCCGCCCATGCCCCATAGCCGCTCTCCCGTCCACTGCGGAGGACATTCCGGACCTCCCTGACCGTGACGTGGATGCCGACATCCGGCGGGAGTGCTGGCTGCGGGGCCTGCGGCGGAGCCTTTCGAACCAGGCGCACCGTCGCCTGCGGAACTCGTCGAGCCAGAGTGCTAGCGACGGCCGTCGTTAACGGTTGTTACTGCACGCACACGTGAGTTTCACAACACAGCACCAAGAGATGCGGCGCGCATTTACGAGACCCCCCCTTCTTCACGCTATTTCTAGAGGGTCCCCCAGCGGCGAGCGGTTAAGATCCGCACCCCTTTGAAGACTCTAAATACCATTAAATACCCCCGGGGGATCGCACAAACATGTTCAACAAGACAGCATACAGCACGCAACACACAGCTTTCACTACCATTACACCGCACACACACACACACACATGCACAACACAGCTTTGGGCGCACACACGTCCACACGCCCACATAACACAACACGGCTTATCCAGTCCTGTAGTTAATTTTAGTTCTTAATCGTCTCGTTCCAAGTTTTCTCGATTTATGCTGCATATATATATATATACTTGGGCTATTATGTTCCCTCAATTTTTTCTCTCGGAAACGAAAGCCGGCTTAAAATAGAATCTACGTTATCAGCCGCAACTTTGTGAAATTTTCTAGAAACTCATTTTGAACATTCATCTGAAAGATCCAATGTTAATAGGTCAACAGATAGCTCTTGACGTATCTTTGTGATTCAATCAATATCTGTCTTATTGAAGATTAAGGTGTTTAGATTCTATGACGGGAATCGGGAGAAAAAGAATTCCAAGTCCTCCCGCCAATCATGGTCTCCTAAATTCAGAACGACATGTTGTCGTTTTCGGATAGCCTCGACCAGCAGACTTTGCGGTCGCTTTTGACATGGCCTGGCAATGGAAAGTCAATCTTTCAGCACAAGACTTGTCACAGCAAATGTCAGCATACGATATGAAGTAAAATATTCTTCTGCAACTTGAGCTGGCATTGAGTCCGCGGCTGCACGGCCAGCATGAGCCAAAGCGAGAGCAGTCCTGTCATGCCAGCTTCACTTGCTTGAAACCCGTTTTTCGAACTCCCTCAGTCAGAGTCTTGGCATCAGGCCTCGATCCAGTTGCAAGGCGGGGGGCCGGGGCCCGGCCTCGCACGACATGGACCAAGCTGGGGGTTCCTCAATCTACTTCTCGTATAAATACCCCAAAAAACCCCCTATTCTGATGCATTGTGTACAGGAGCTGTGGCTTGTCCTGCCTCGGGGATCACTTTGCCGACCGTCTGGGGCAGCTTGGGAAGCCAACTCGGCAGCAAGTGTACGGGTATCCCGTGCCTGTGCTGGCTCCGGCACACACGCACACACAGGCACGCACCAACACACACCCATGCTGTGAGAAGCCAGGACAGAAAGCATTCCGAACCTCACGGATGATGCGAGCAGTCGCCTACAGCAACATGGATCAGTGCTGCGGCAGACCTTCGGACATGCCCTGCCATCGTCTTGCCTTGTCGCCCATCTCCAAGGCAGTATTCCCATTTTCATGCCTGGTGACCACCGGAATGGTTTGCGCATGCCCGACATGAGTCTAGACACCAAAAGAACAAACCGTCAACATCTTCATCAATAGAGACAGAACACCCAACGACCGAAAGCAGCGGCAAGCAACAGGCAGCCAGCATGTAGACAGATCTTGGAACGTATGCATATGTTTTCCAACCCATGTTCGCCTTGCTGAGGCTCTGATTCTTGTGGCTTGGATCCTGACCGAATCCGAACATCGGCACCGGCTCGCATGAGAAGCTGCAGCCTCATCGGACTCTTTTCTTGGCAGCGTCAGCCACAACCCTAAACCTGAACCCGAGCCGGCAAGCCCTACAAACTCCTGGGCTCTTAAATCCAAAAACCAAATTTTTACCTGAGCACAGTGCAGTGCTGGCTTGGCCCCCGGCGTTGTTGCAGCACTTGCTCCGCATCCCCTTAGTACACGAGGACATGCGTTGCACGCGGTCACACCGTGTCTTTACATATATGTATATAGATACATATATTCACATGTATATACAGACGCATACATATGTATACGTGCGAATTGCATGTATGTGAGTGTGTTTGTGGGTGTATGTGAGTGTGTATGTGTATTTGTAGGTGCACGTGTACGTGTATGTGTACCTGCATGTGTATGTGCATGTATGTACGTATGTATTTTTGTGTATATGGTTATGATACAGATACTGATAAAGATATAGATATAGATACAGACCTGGACATAGACATACTGGTATGTAGGTGTATACATCTATACATATATGGGTATGTGTATGTACAGTCGTGTGCTGCATGCACGACATATTTCTGAGTATTCACATACGCATAGATCTATATCTAGATCTATGTCTATACCTATATCTGTACATTATGTGAGCATATGCCATGTACCTGTTAATTCCTACCTGCTCGTGTACATGACATACAAAGACACAACTATCGACTGCCTGCCTGCTTCTTGGGGCGACCTCTTGCCAACTTCGAGGACCACGCGCAGCGCGCATCAGCGGAGTCCATCCACAGGGACCCGGACATTTCCGGTCTACCTTTGGGAAGCGCGCAGGGAGGGGTGTGGCCCGTGTAATTCCATGACAGAATCGAGTTCGCAACAAATTCAAGGGTGCCGAACAAGTTGCTGAAGATCCGGCAAGAATCTGAGGCTCTGTCATTTGCGTTTGCGGCTAAGAGCAAGCCCGCAATGACTGCCACGCAGAGCTTCGGAAAGACAATTGAAGTCCAACCCACAGGTCACATATGTCGCCAGCCGTGACTGACCTGCACCTTGCTTGCGTCGACCTGAAATCTCTGCAGCAGCTGCAAGCGGAGTCCACCTTTGAAGGCAGGTGGCATTGGATCAGGCTCACAATTGTCCGAGAGTTTTTGATCCGAACTGCCTGCAGCAGCCAACGTCGCCTTGGTGGATGGCGGGCCCCGACGCCTCTTCCACGAAGGCATGCATGCAAAGAGGCGCGAAAGGGTAGCTTTGAGTGGCTTTCTGGTCGTCCAGCAAAGCCTCCACATCTGCGCCGGCAGCCAAGTCCAAAATGACTCCCGCCTGTCACATGCAGTGGCATTTGCATGCTGGCACTCGTGAAATTCGCTTGCACGCGAATGGGTCTCCAGCTTGTGCTGCCGAGTGACCACATGACCATCAAAGATGTGGGTGAACAGCTGCTCCTGGGTCTGTAGAAAACGAAACTGTCTGTCGCAGTATGGAACCGGAAGCACGAGGAGCTGGCTTCATCGGTCTCCCGCTCCCGCCCTCACACGACGAGCACTCATGTGACTCGTGTGGGCAAAATCCCATGCACAGCTTTGCGCCTAGCCTGCCCGACGGATGCGAAGGGCTGGCCGCAACGCCGCAGACCTCGGGACGCAACAGAACAGGACGGAAGCGACGCAGCCGCGCGGCTCTTAGCAACTGACAGCTGTGATGCTTCACATCTGGCGGAAAGCCTCGCAGGAGTCTTGCCATCCAGCTTGTCACACTTTCAACATCAAGCTCGTTCAACACAGCCGTTGCAGCGTGTGCAGCCTTTCCAGGAAGTCCGCAAGAGCCTGCTTCCGTCTGCATGAAGGGATGCGACCAGTCAAGGGCAACGGCCGAAGTCTCTCCCAACCCTTGTCAGTCTTCGAATCGCTCGCAACTCACAATTTCGAAGCCTCTCGACCCAGTGCAGCCGCCCACACAGACGCTGCTGCAGCCTGATTGGTAGAGCAATGTAAAGAATACCGTTGCAGGACGCCTCTAAAGGAGAGAGATCCAGCATTGCTCCATTTGTGTTCAGCAGTTTCCAAACAGATCCTGCTGAAATTGCCAGGAGCTGCTGCGTTGTTGTCACCCTGATAAGTCCTCAGATCGGAACTAAGTCGGCAGACTCCGGACGCGCTGCCTCAGAGACAAGGCGGTCCACGCCTAACAGAGGGCAGCAAGCCAACGAAAGCATTTGTCTGGCACACGCTTCCCTCACCTTCCAGAGCATGCCCAGCGGTCATCCAGCAGAAATACCTAATGCCACGACAAGGGCTTTGAACGGTGTCTGCTCTGACCCCGGGAATCCCTGACCTCAGCCACGATCCGTCGGCTGGCAGCAGCTGAGGCGCAGCTGTGGACACGGCTTCTCTCAATGCCTTGCAAGCACGAGTCGTGACCCCGCCGGGAATCCCGGGCCTTCGGCTCCGTCCTCTTGGTCAAGCAATCCCGCGGGTGGTGCCACCAGACGGGGCTCCCTGCAGTGGCCCCCAGAGTGGCCCAGATTGGCCCAGCCCAACTGCTAGCCGCTGCTAGCCGCCGGCCTGGTAAATGCCAGCCGGGCTGAGGCTGCTCTCAGGTTTTCGAAGGACAACCCCGGCGACAAGGCTGAAGATGCAGTGGCCTCGGCTCGAAGAAACAAAAAAGCACCCCAAAGCCCGGACGCCGAGAGCCCGGCAAGGCGCGTGGCACCACAGGGCCCGCAAAAAGCCACCACTCTCTCACCCGCATCCGCCTGGAAGCATGTATTGGCTCAAGCTGCGGCACTCTTGGCTCTTGCATTCCCATTCCACCTCGATGAAGCCGTAGAGAGCACCGGCGCCCATGATGATCACATCACGATCACGGATGCAGCTTGGCTGACTGCTTGCAGGTTGCCTCCTGTGAAGTCTGACCAGTGGTCACGCACGGCTTCGCTGAAGATGTGAGATGCTCGCAGAACACTGGATGCTCTGCTCACCAAGGACGGCTTGAGCGTCAAGTGAGTCGCATCACGACTAAACTGCAGGGATGCGCCTTCATTCTTCCAACCACGGCCTCTCTGCTCCTTTGCTCTATGCCCGCGCACTGATCTCCGTGACTCGGTTCTTCTGGTGGGTACGAACACTCCACGACAGTGTGTGGACCGGAACGTGCGGCTGGGCCAGGCGAGTGGATCTTGAGACCCTTTTCAAGGGCTGCGCAACCGTCATGATCATGTATGTCATGTGAGGCATAGCAAGCATAGCAACCGCAAAACACAACAGCCGGTCTCTCGGCCTGCGCTGAGTCCCAGCCATGGTCAATTGCTTGAGGTTTCAATAGGATAAGCTCAAAGACATCTGGGACTCTGTCAGAGTGGCCCAAACACACTCTGGCAAATCATCCTTGTGACTCGGGTGGGACTGTCGCCGAGAACCCAAATCTTGCCAGAGCTCCCAGGAGGAAGGAGAGGCTCAGCGGCTCAGCGGCTGTGACTAGAATGACTAGGTCACAGACATTCACAACTCTTTGCAACCGCAAGAAGGTTTCGTGCAATGACGGTTTTGCAATTCCACGTGTGGCTCACCGTACCCACAAGGCTCATGTCACAAGGCTTCGACAGCATTCGGCCAGTTGAGGCAGCACTGCTGTAACTGGCTTGCATATCCGAATTGGCGGCTAGTCTACAGGTTTGAACGAGTTGAAAAGCGGATGCAGGTCCTGAAACGGCCCTCGAGGTTTCATAATGTTTCACCGCATCGCACAGAATGCTTGCGTGCTATCCTCCTTGCCCAAAGGATGTGTTGTCTTCCCATGAGCTAGCTCACACTGGCTGAAGACCCATGAGTCTTGAAATTTATCTGCATTCCTTTCCGCTGGCCACTTTCAACCATCATGATAGAAACCTCTCAGGCGCACTACTCTCCAAGCTTGTCGTGCTGGAACGTGTGCTTGTGCAGCGGGATGACCTCTCCGGCACAGGCATGGATTTGAATCCTGGAGATCTATGCTTTGGCTGAAACGCTTGCCAAGTCCCTCAGCGCCGAGCCTGCCGGTGTGGGCCCAGTACGAAAGCCTGTAGCAATCGGATGCAGCCGGACTCTGTGACTGTAAGCCAACAAAGACGCACCTGCTCGCGGCAAGGTCTGCTGAACTTACGTCCTTGGCTGCGTGCGCGTCTGGTTGAAGGGGCTGCGGCTAGATGGCTACACGAAACTGGCTGAGCTCGGGACCCTAGCCAGAAGGGCTTACAACCATAGCCGGGGGGAAGCCCCAACCTCCCAAAAGAAGACAAGAACCCACAGTAATACACGAGGGAAGCGCGACCAAGAGATCAGGAGATTTACCGACACGAGCAGAGAGCAAGCGCTGGGGACAGAGTGCAACTGCATCCACTGGGGCCGGTTCGAGGCCGGTTCAAACTGTGAGTCCAAGTGCTTCCCACGCCGTGGTCGGTATGATGCCACGAAGCACACCTGGAGCTCGTCAGGTGCAGGTTGTTGCTCGGCTTACAGCAAGTTCGGCATGGGCTGAGGATGGTACGACTACTGAGCAGCTGAAGACAACGGATATAAGGGCCATAGCCGGCAGGACCAGCATGCTGGAGTCAGAAAGCCGCCCTGCACCCATTGGTAGCATTGAAGCCACCGGTTCAAGCAGATTTGTCGGCTTTCACAGTACAAGTAGCTTTCCAGCCGTGGCAATCGAATTTTCCTGAGAATCAGATCAGCCCTTGGACCCGCCCCTGCCTAGGCTGGCGTAGGGATACCTCGAAAAAAAACCGAGTGCAAATCGGTACTGCCATGCGATTTCCGGTCGCCCGTGCCCCGCGGAAGAACCCCAGATGCGGTAAAGGCGAGACGAGGAGCGATGCCCAGTATCGCGACGCGTTGGGCAGCTGCCAGCTCCAGAACCTGAAGCTGCGAAGCAACAATTCAAGGCACAACACAACGCCACAAGTAGGCCCGAAGACAGGCAAGGGCTCTGCCTGAGAGAAGGAGGTGCTAAAGTTGTAAGGTGCGGCTAACGGCTAGAACAAAGCCGAGGCACTGCAAGTTCGGCTGCCTGTCTGTCGGTGCTCGACCAGCCTCTTTCTGTCGGCTGTCTCAAGACATGACTTGAACATGAAACATCCCAGCTGCACCTCTCGAACATCTCCGGATGAACCAGAGATGTGATCATCCTCCTCGTCATGGCAGCGTTTACAAAGCAAGATGCTTCTAGCACATCGCCCTTCTGTCCTCGGAATCCTCGTGTACCGGTGCAGCCTGGTGCCGCGGTGACGTCATCTGCAACAGCACTGACGGCCTGCGCTCGACAACTGCTCGTCGCGCAGCACACAGAATGAGTCTGTTCGGCAAAATTGCTCACCGCCTCTTGCCAGTGCTTCCCGAGTCATCGCCTGCTCCGCATCCATACAGGTGCAAGCAAGCCCTAGGTCGCTCATCGCAGAGAGTCTCGGTGCGAACTCTTACCGAAGCTGCCCCATCAATGTAACGAGGCTCTTTTGCAAGACCAAAGGAAGGGTCGGAGTGGCCGATCAAAGTCCCGACCTTAACGCTGAGAAATCCCCCACAAGGATGTGGCGGCCTGCAACCATGCCCTGCTCGATTTCGGCAGGACCTGGACTGTTCAGACCGTTCAAGGTCTGGTCACGAGTGCTTGCCGTGCTGGGATGCGCTGAGAGTGGGAAATCGCCCCTCAGGACCACACAGGACGGTATGGGTTTTGCTGCGCCTCCCATCGCAGGGGTGATTCAAGACAGCTGCACCACGCAGACTTCGCAGGAACTAATGCAAAACTCGGTGGGGTTGCTGCGGAGAGACAGGTGCCCGGACTCCAAACTGAGATTGGATTCGAAGTCGCATGCCAGAGCAGCGGCAGGACACATCCAAGAAAAACGTGTGGACACTACCGTGAACACTTCTCCGGGTGCAGTTGTTGCAAGACCGGACTTCATGTCTTCTTGTTCGTATTATTCTTGCGCTGAGCTGAACTTGTACAGGTAAACACCGAAGTCATAACAAAAACGGTGGGCGAGCCTTCCCGCAACTAACCGCGCGTTACGACTCATTTTCGGAAGTCATAACAAAATCGCTTTCCACCATGTCACCGCGGGATATTTGAGTAGTCTGCAACGTCGCTTCCGCATGTTCAGCGCTGATAAGAAGTCATAACATTTGCTGTTTCCCCCAAGTAACCGCGCCTGACACAAAACATGGTTTCCACACACCGCGTCTGAAACTTTCTACCGAACCGTGGGCTTGGAAGCAACAAGAGGCACTTCCAGTGCTAAAGCTGTACTGCAACCAAGCACAATCCAGCCAGGACGCCAAACGAGGCATTTCCAAGCACAATCCAGCCCGGACGCCAAACGAGGCATTTCCAGTACTAAAGTTGTACTACTACCAAGCACAATCCAGCCAGGACGCCAAGCGAAGCATTTCCAGTACTAAAGTTGTTCTACAACCAAGCACAATCCAGCCCGGACGCCAAGCGAGGCATTTCCAGTACTAAAGTTGTACTACAACCAAGCACAATCCAGCCCGGACACCACACGTGGTACTAAAGGGACTTTGGCAAGGAACCCGTATCACCAACTACACCGCGGAATGTTACGACCTAGCGTTTTCGCTTCCCCGAAGGTATGCTCCGATTTGCTGACATGCGTTGCGACTTCGGTAGTTCCCTGTATCTGCCTTCATCCATGCGCCAGCAAATCGCTGTGGTTCTGTTAAACATTGTTGTGCTTTCATTCAGCACTGGATTGCTGTCACTTGCCCAGCAGTCGGTTCTTGAATTCACGGCGCTCGTTCTTTTTTGTCTCGAGGCACGTAACGCGAGGAACTTGGAAGGACTTTCCCAACATTTTGCTTTGTGCATAGAAAACCCAGAGCTACATCTGATACCGGCAGCATGTCGGTCATAAAGCGCACCCGCACATCCACATGTCGGAAGTCTGCTTCTCTGCCTGCATGTGTGTATGTGTGTATTACAGTGTATATAGGGCAAGCTCTGCGTGCAGCGGCTCCTGCAGTCTTTACGACGTGAGGCTTTGCGATGCGAGACAAGCTTTGCTGTTGCGCTAGTTGGAGCCTTCGACGATTCAGTTCTGCCTGAATCGCCTAGAAACACACTTCCGTTGCTGTTCGTACGTAAGCCTTGCAAGCTATACAACGAGGTGGACATGTCATGAAGACTTTCTGCAGCTGCAACCTCGCGTGGAAGACAAGATTTTCAGTCCCGTCCATCCCGCCCTCCATCCGGACGTTCTTGCACGAATGGCACTGGTCGACTGTCATGAAGCCGGCAAGGGCCCCATCCGGTGAACTAGTTCTGGACTCGCAGTCATGCGTTTACAAGCATGATACCATCTGCAAGCACGTCAGCCTTGACAGGCTATGGATGCTCTGTACGGCCCCCACCACTGGATTGTTTGCTATCGGTTATCTATAACCTTGTCGATTATAGGTTATACAAAAGAAAGCAGCCTTCCGGCACTGCAGCCCCAGCGATCCCTGTGACCGCGAGGGCAAAGAGCAGCGGCCTCTTTTGGGGAGCTTTGCACAAATGTAGGGAGTCACTGAGGCTTCAGGACTTCCGGGATCAAAATGCTTAGTTTAGGCTGGCTTACGGGTTTGAGGTGCAGTTCAGGCTTGGGGTATTAAGCTTATCTTCGGGCTCGGGGCTTTACATTTAGTTGATAGACTGAACGGAAGTGTCTGTCGAATGGCTTTCTGCTTTAGTTGCATGCAAGTGAAGCTTCCAGGCAATGGACTACAGTGGTGTGTCGAGTTCAGGCTGCGGACACATTCGGAAAACAAGGAGAACCGATTCATGACAAACAAGAACTCGAGGAACCAAGGTCGGGCACGGAAAACGCGAGAAACAAACCACAAACTCCAAACCCCCAGCCACTCACGTCCTTTTCCTTGTCCGAATCAGTTTTGCTGAAACCCCAGCTGCTATCCCGAGTCGGCCTACGGGGGGTTCCCCGGAATTTCATTCATCAATCTTCCGGTTGTTCTCGGAACCCGGACGCTACTCTCGTCGAGCTTATGCCGTTTTGATTCCACTTTCAGATTCCTTGGATGACATCTTCGGGCTGCCTGCGCAGGCGCTGGAAAGATAAGGTGCAACCACGCATCCTCACAGGATGACATGCGATCTGAATAGCCCACCAGAGGAATGCAACCACTCTCAGAAGCATCGTCGCAGATCCAACGGACATCCAAGGTGCCAGAAGATGCGGCTTCCGCGGCGCTCGGCTTTCCTTCCAAAGGCGTCTCAAATGGAACCAAAGTGACTAGGGTCCAGAGCATACATCCAGGGTGTATCATAAATCAACTGTATCTATGTATATGTATACATACATGCACATACAAACGCGAAGCGTGCATATTTTATGTACACTCAACAGTGTGGAGGTCTTGCAACAAAAGACTTCAATCTCTGCACTGGTGAGCAAAACGCTGTCCTAGCCCTTCAGAGTTGCTGCAGCGCCATAAGATGATGCTCCACAGCTGAGCCACTAGCAGCGGGCACCAAACAAGGCAATCCTTGCATCTGACACATCATGAAACTTCGTATGAAAAGGAAAGGGCGGCCGATCTCTCCACCGGACCATATCTTCACATGCCTGCTATGTTGTTTTGAAGCTCCTGCGACGGAAGAACGGCTTTGCCGTTCAATGTCGGTCTTCATGCTCGCATAATCCCTTCCCAATTCGACGAGAGAAAGAGGTAAGTTGAAATATCAAGCACAGTCTTTGCAGTTAGTGCTTGGGTGCTTGCAGCTGCCTTATCGATAAGGGGAGTGACTATGCTTTGCGCGTGCCGCCATGCCTGGCACTTAGTGCCAAGAAGCATCATAAGCCTCGCCGGCTCAACGTGCAAATTTTGTTCGTGGGGCTTTACGTGCACTATGCCATGATGCAAGATGACAAGGCCGTTCTTCATGTCGCATCGTTGAGTTGAAATACCCACCCTATAGTGCCTATCACTCTCATGCAACTACCGCAACTACCGGATGTTCATGCGCCGTCGGAGCTCCCGAGCCTGAAGCACAGAAGCAAGCCGTGACGCACTGATGATGTGTTCTCCCAAAACGCTTCCGCTTCAGCTCCTCCGTGGTTCACAACTGACTTAAGCTGGAGTCCCAAAAGAGGGCGTGCAGTGAAGGCTCGGCTCATACAACGACACTTTGGAAACGGAGCCAAGCATACGCAGCTCTCAAATCTGTGATAGGCTTCTGTTGTTCGGTGGGTTCGGTGTTGGTTTTGGCCTTTTCATGACTTTCCTCCAACATGCCATGCTGCATGATACAGGGGTGTTGCTTCCGGCATGTACACTCCCTGATTTGATTCAAGTCATGAAGTGGAAGCAAGGCGGCAAGGTCATCATTGAGTCTGGAGAAGGCTTAAGGTCAATCCATCTCCCGGCCCAAGGTTTGCAGAAAACCAGAAATCTAAAACCACTCCGAGCACGTCTCTTGGGACCTCTCCCCGACCCCTTTGCCTCATCGAGCTTCCCGGCCCTTCGCAGGCGCTCGCTGAGCTGCCGCGCCGCTGCGACCCTCTGCCTCACGCCAGCACGACTCGTACGTTGGGGCTAAAGCTGGCTCGTAAGCTGGCGGATCACATTGGCGCAACGGGCACGTTTGCAATTCTGCGGTGTGGCTCATGCTGGGCCAGTGACTCTGGGGTGTACTGCCCATGCTCCAAGTGGTGCAGGTAGAGCGGGATGGCGCTCTCGAAGTCCCCTGACAAGCACACGCCACACCAACTTCGACCTCAGAGCCTCGCGGTGCAACCAGGCAAGAAGGCCCGCCTAGTGCATCCAAGGTCAAAGCCCAGTTGTAGAGCGTAGACAAGCCTCCAGCGATGCTCCACTCTAGTCCTACAGTAATCCCTCGACGTGCCGTCCGGACCTCACCGCCGACAAGCTGTCTGATCCCGGTAATGCTGGCTGGCATGAGGTGCTGGCTTATTGGGTGTGCGTCTCCGAGCTTCTTCACGATCCCTTCGGCCGCTTCCTTCATGCGCAGCACCGTACAGCCAAGAGAAATAGAAACAATCTCGCAATGGACGGGCGAAGCCGGCCACAGAACCGAACAAGCTTGCCCGACAAGGTAGGACTAAACACAACGGCACCGAAGTTGAATGTTCGAAAGGTGGCGGAGCTGGGAAAAAGCACAAGAAGGTGTGCGATTCGTGCACGACCGCCCTTACAGTGCTTCTCTGACGCCTCGAAGCGGCATCTGTGCAATGGCATGGTATGACTGGATTGCACGCGGCCCCTGAAAACAAGTCCTTGTAGAGCCCTTCAGCTCGAACTGCCTGACCAAGTGCGCTTTTGCCGGACGACTCGACTTGCTACGCAACAAAGCTGCGGCAGCGCCAGACAGCTTGGCGGCCGGCATCACCCTGGAGTCTAAGCACTCCAGCGTGGTTGTTGATGGCCGTCAAAGTGTCCTAAGCTAAAGAGACAGAGATCTACAAATGCGGCCACATCAACGACGGTCTTTCCAAAGAGTTACAGTAGTAGGCAATAAAGCAGCTCATGTCAGAGATGATACTTGTACCGCTTAACGGCGAGGCTATGGTCTTTGGGTGTCTGTTTCCTTCTAGTAGCTGATCATAGATCTTGAAGGCCGCATCTCGAGTCATACTGAACCAAAGAAAAGGCATGGCTCTGTAGTCGCCTACCTCGAAGATCAAAAAAAGCTTGAGCTGCACCACACGACCGCACATCTCCCATAGCGAACCAACGTTCGCAATTTGTCTCAACCCGAACGCAAACACCCGAACTAACAGTCTGCGAACTACTGTACCAATGTCGAAACTTTGCTCATTCTCGTGCCCAGCCACCAGATGATTGAAACCTTGACATGACCGCATACCATCCACCACCTTCTCATAAAGCTTCTCGGATTCCTCGAGATTCCCGTTGTCGCGGAGCAAGCCAGCCTTAGCATCTACTGACTGTTTTCACCGACGGTCAATTGAGACGCAAGTGCGTGCTTTGGGCAGCATGGCACTGCTTTATGCGCGTCCGTGCTGCACGGGTGTGGCAAGGAAGCACGTAAATGGACTGTTTGGCTTCTCCAATTGGTCCAAGCAGCGAGATTGTTCATACTCTTCCTGGGCCCAGAAATGCCGACACAGCTTGGATGAGTGTTGACACAATGCGCACCAAGAGATACCAGCAGAAAGCAACAGACTGGGCACAACAGAAACTGCAGTCCCAGCGACAATGCAAGCGGATGTCGCTTGCCCAAATTCTTCTGAGAAGCAGCCACTGCCTTCGGAACGGGCACAATCACAACCCGCAATGTCAAGCCATCTTAGCAGACATGAATGCATGAAGGATATGTTGCAGGAGCTTAGCAGATTGCGAAGAGCAGGATACACCAAGCCTGCCGCTGGACCTAGCAGCCTGGTGGCCAGCATTAAATGGGATGTCTGACCTTCTTGCATTTGAGCAAGAAAATCAGCTAGATGCAGCTAGCATATCGAAAGTGCCAGGCAGATAGAAGATCCCACCCAGAGCATGCTACGGTGAGAGGACGCATGCAACTTCGGGCTCCTACTCGCCGCCTCTCTGAGAAGAACGTGGGCTTTCTCAAAGGCTTTCTTCAACTCGAGCGTGTCATTGCTCTCGCGAAAGTCCTCGTTTTCTGCAGGGACTGTTGCTGCAGCAGATACCTTCCCACCCATTGCTTCGAGGCTCCTGAACCTCATCCTCAGCTGCGACGAAATATGACGAAGTGTCGGGTTCGCTAATCTCTATGTAGGCGATAGAAGACTTGTGACGAGCATCCCTCGCAATCGCCGCGCAATTGTTCATGCTGATGATGGTGTCTGGGTGCTTGATGCCAAAGATCTTGCGTCGGCCGTCCAACACCTTCACCAAGAGCGCCTCTGCTTCCAGCCTCTGCCCGTTGGCACGCAAAAAGAGTGCCAGGTTACCTTGGGGTGAGCACCGACCGCCCAACGGCACAGGACTGGAAAAACCCTGTGCAGGACGACAAATTCAGCAGGGCTGCTCATGCTCGTCATGGTGTCAGGGTGAGAAGGCCCGAGGACAGTTCTGCGGGTCTCTAGGCACTGCTGATACAGTTTGCCAGCCTCCTTGGCGTTCCCCAGCTCATCAACAGTGCAGGCCAAGTTGTTGAGGCTTGTGAGAGTGTCCGGGTGCTTGGGTCCGAGAGTTTCCTTTGCTGACCCAGGCCAGGCGGCCAGGCCCAAGCACCGCCCACGGCCACAAACGAAGGCACAAGTTGCTGTCTGCCTCTAGGATTCCTGGCGCCTCTTGTATGCGTCCCTGAAGCATTTCTCCGCCTCTTTGAACTCGCCCTGCGCCTGCCGCAAACGCCGGCAAAACACACGGTCAGGGCATGCATGGCAGGAGCACCTGGCAGCCCCTGTGTATTTAAACCATATGGTCCAACAAGATGATCAAGACAGCAAGTGTTGTGACATGCGCACGGACGACAAGTCGACGCCTTCCACACAGCCCCAAGGTTGTTGACCGCATCCAGTGTGTCGGGTGCCTGCACCAGCTGCACTTGTCGAGAACAGACAGGGATGGGAGGTCAGGAGAACACCTGCTCGCCGAACATCTTGCGCGAGCCGAAGAGTGCTTCTTGTGCGAGGATCTGCGCCTGAAAGGTCAACAGCGCGGTGCTTGCGAGTGCTTGCGCCAGGGAGCTGCACAATCACGATCACACAGCCGATTGCTATACGCACATCCTTCCAAGATCTTTCAAGAAGTATTTTGTGCAGGGCGTTGACCGGGCCTCATAGTGCTGCCCATGCCTCGCTAACAAGTTCCGAGACCAGCTGCAGTTGGCGTCATGTTATGTGCAATGCAATGCCGCTAGAAACTCGTTCCTCCGTGCCGGCAGGTTGCTGCTTGCACATGGCAGCCTTGGCATCAAGGGCTGTTACCATGAATGTAGCTCAAGGATGCAGTCTCACATCGCGGACCGAGGAGCCATCTTTCCGATGCTCTGTAAAGTTTTGGGATGCTTGTCACCCAGCACCTCTACAAGGCCACCGTGCTGAGACACTGCCGACAACCTCTTGAACCCAGGCGCCTCCCTCCGATAGTGCATCGCTTCACCATAATGATCCAGGGCGTCATTGAGCTGGCCTGAAGCGAAAATGCAATGTGCAGAGGCTGATACCATTCGCATGATTTGAAGACATGTCTGCTCGCCTCGTTTCTCAAGGATGCCTCCCATGTGTGTCATGCTTGTGAGGGTTTTGGCATTCCCGTCGCCATATTTCTGCCGCCGCGAGTCCTCGGAAGTCGATTGTGTACAATTTTTTGAATCCTCGGTTCACCTGAAGACCTAACCGGCAACAGTGTCAAGCAATGCTCCAGAATGTTCTGGAACAGGTTGGCAGTCCAAGTGCCCATCTTCTCCTGCCAGAACCGAGGCTGCCCCGTACGATATTTGGATGTTTACCATGCACTGAACAATGTTCAGTGCTCCTAGACTGCCTATGTTCAAACTCTGTCGAAACCCTATTCAAGACGTCGGGACTTCGCTTTAACATCACCACATCATGCTCGCTGGCCTCATATGCAGAAGTGGTGATCACGCATCACGCAATGCAGCTATGTTACGCCTCGCGGTAAGCCCTGTCTACGGCCACAGCTAGTCCTACGTCGACTTTTAGCTTGTGTTGCCTCACTGGGGCCTGCGGAGTGCTGCTAACAAATCATGGAGTCCAAAGTGAGATCGACGCATACGTGACTTTCGGCATGTGTTGGTGTCGCTTGGTCAGTGCAGCAGTACATGGTCGTCTTGAGTGGAAGTGGCCATGCAGAAGAAACCTCATGTGCAGACACAGACACTCACGGCTCACGTTTTCGATCTGCTAAAGCAGCGTGCGAGTCACACCATCTTGGCTTTGCATCTGGGACCAAACAAGGAACTAGCATTCTACTGAACAGCAGCGTGATCCCACATGCTCAACCATGCCCGTGCTGCTGAAGTTCAGCACTGAATTTGATCTATGTCATGCTCTGCGCCATCAGCATGCACATGCTTCCTGCCTTGCTTCGTGCCTCATGGGAAGGCAACTGCAGCGGTTTGACCGACGACGCAAGATCACAGGGGGCACCACCTCATCCTCTCCTGCTGCTGCTGCTGCAGACTCGTTCTCAGGATAGCCTGCCTGCCAGCACTTGCGAACCACTGAGTACCCGACCATTGCAAGTTAGAAAGAATCCAGAATCCAGGGTCCGGGCTCAGAATCGCTGTAATCTGGCTTGGGCTGGTAGGTGACCAGGCATGCCACAATGGTAATGGCAAGAACCAGAGCCGCCCTTGGGCAGTCCAGACGAGTTGAGGGGGGGCATTCGTGATTTGCATAAGTCATACATGTTTTGCACCAGGAAGCAGCTTGAGGCAAGCACACAGCAACAATGATCGGCCTAGACCAGGCGCGCGTGCTTTCTTTGGAAACCCAAGAAGAAGGACAAGCAACATGTTGCAGCAACAAGGAGAGGTAAGTCGGTAAGTGGCGGACAGTGCCAGAGCAGCAGTGTCGGAACCCGATGTCGGCTGTGAGGTCACCACATGATCTTCAACCTTGCGGCTCCATAGTGAGATTCCCTCTGCGATCATGAGAGGATTGCCGCCTCCTGCTGCATCTGTTGTAGAACAAGTCTTGGGGATTGCAGCTCCTCCAACCAAAGGCAGAGTCAGAGCAGAGCCGTTAACACAGTTGAAGTCCTCGTGCCGGCCCCAGAGGAACTGCTGTGCCAATGCAATGGCCGACCTTGCTCCGGATCTTGCAGCCACCGAACAAGGGTGAAGTTGGCTGCAATCGCTTCACAGCTCACTTTCAACTAAGTTGCATCGCAATGGCCGGTGGGCCAAGCTGTGTCGCCCCGCGGCCCTGGGCGCAGACAGAGCAGCACCGCTTGGCTTCAGCTTACACGGCCGCATTCACCTCACCGGCATGCTCCGCATGCTCATGGCATATGAAGTGAACAGTGGTGCATAAGCTCTGAACGGCAGCATCACCAGCCGCGAAGAGGCCTCATCTTCGCTCTTCCCTTTCTATCTACCGGCTTCATGCTGCTTGAAGCCGAACCCCTCGTGTAAGCTCAGAACGCTCTGTCAGAGATCCCTCGGCACTTCGTGCGCTAGCGGAGGCAGCGAGTTGGAGAAGGACCGGTGCCTTCCTCGGGCGATGCGATGCAGAAGAGTTGCCACGTCCACACAAGCTCGGTCGTGGCGGTTGCGCAACATGCAGCCACGCCACTGCTCCTGGAAACCAGGCAAGCTGCAGGAGCTGTCAGCTGCCGCACGGCTGATTGCCAAGAGAACCTTGCCAAACGCTGGGCAGATCTGGTGTCCGCCTACCTGTCTTGTGTAGAACCAGCAGCCGGGTACCAAAAGCGCTGGAAAAGCCCCGGAGACAATCCCGGCTCTGGGCCCAATGTTGGGGGTTGAACAGAATAAATGTGCACGATCTCTCGCACATCTACTCTCCACCTGTTTGTCTATGTACTTGTGCACTCTTGTGCATATCAATGGGGCTGCCGCCTCGAGCGATTGCTCGATGCACATGTTTCTGGGACTCTCAACATCTTCGTTCGCGCCCATCGATACTTACAGAAACATGTCTCCAAGTCTTTCTATGCATGACCGCCTGCATGTATGGAACTATGTAGTCAGCAAATGCGCTCATGCATTCATGCCACGGATGTATGCAGGTATGTATAAGTATGTATGTCAGATGTAAGTATGTACGTTTGTATGTATGTGTATGTATGTACCACAAAGCAAGGCAATCTAGGGCAATGTAAGGCAATGTTGTGTAATGAATATTAATTCATATCACGTATGTGGCGTGTATCAGTAAACTAGCAGACTAGCACGCTGGAACCTGTGGCAAAAGCCGCTGCGCTTGGCTAATTCTGCCTTTGACTCACATGCTGCTTTCCACATGCGGCCAACTTTACCGAAATGTGCCACCAAGCCGTCGATAGATTAGATAAGCTTTTCAGAAACCGCGTAATTAGGCGTTCAGAACAGGCGGGCTGTCGGCTCGTTGCGCCAACGCAGCTGCACACAAACCCTGCAACGGACCTGCCACCCCCTCAAGCAACCCTGACCCGTCATAAACCCTGAACCCTACTGCACGTGCCGCGCAGCGACCCTGACACGCAAACACGAAAAGGAAACGAAGCCTTGCACAAAGAGACTCCCTTAAGCCCTCAGCCTTGAATGCTAACCGGGCCCACAACAAGCACCCCAGCAAGGCCCCGAAGGTCCTCGGTCCTGAACCCAAACCTTAAAATGACCCAAACCAGCGCACAAATGCTGAACCTTCACCCGAGCATCCTGCGCACCTGCACTAACACATGCCCCTACGACATGACGCCCGCACAAACCGTCTTGCAGAACGAACCGAGCGAGTGGCAAGTAGGGCACTCCAGGATTCGCTAGCAATAGTCCTGCAAAGCAGGAAGGAGCAAGCAGGGGCGGAGGTGCTCCGCGAAGCTGCTATGCGGGTCCTCATCGGATCGCGTAGTAAGGTCGCCTGCTGGCTTCCCGGATGAAGTAAGCTGCATGCATTCGTGAATTACTAACAAAGCTCAGACATGTAATGCTGCCAGGGCACGTGAATGAACGTTGAGAGGCCAAGGATTCGGCACTCCCGCAATCTGAAACGAGAAACGCATGCGCAGGCACGAATGGATGCGACCTCTGCGGCAAAAGTGACAGGTCCGCAACAGGCATCATATTTGCAAAGCCATGGTCTCAGCAGAAATGAAATCTCGTCCAGGAAGGCTTTAGGGTTGGACTGAAAAGCTCCTCCCTCTAAGTTGTATATACTTTGGGCAACTGCGACAACACACATGCCCCCCGCGCTTTTCCACATCTGGGACTCGCCGTCTTATTTGCTGCATCTTTAGCGGGAAGCTGGTGAGACGCATAGCAAGCACTAACTTCGAGACCCTCTGCTCAACAGGAAGGGCAAGGAAGACCGAGTGCCTCAGTGATGTGCACGAGTTGGCACGATTCTGCCAATGTCGAGGCATCGAGGCTCATGCCCTCCTCATTCGGCAGATAGCCTCGCGGCTGGCCACGCACAGACCTAGGTGAAAAGGGGCACACCTCTTGTCGTCTCCGGCCCTACAGCCATCTACAGCCCTTCCTGCAAGTAGGGCTTTCACAGATGCAAGCTCCTTTGCATAGTTGTCATCCTGAGAACACCAGCTGATGGTGCAAATGCCCTTGCAAAGCTCCTTCCAACAGCGGGACATGCCACTAAGCCAGTAAGGGACGTACCAGGATGAGGGCAAGCACGCTGCCAATCAATCCAAGAACCAACAGCACGTACAAGGCCTTGGAGACAACTCACCCAAGACGCATGACTCTTGCATGCACCTGCTGCCTTGTTCTCACATCCTATCACCTGGCGTCTTTGCCTTGCAAAACCGCGCAAATCCACCTCCTCAATTCTGGTCTGAATTGAGCAACTCAGACATTTCAGGCTCGCACCAACTTAGCCGATTCTGCTTGCTGAAAGCGCTGGAGAAGGTTGCACCTGCTAGCTGAGCAACTGAAGTGACACACTTGCTGAGCAAGTCTCCTCTTGAACGTTGGCACAACCGAGTGCACGATTGAAAAGTGTAGCGCAGCACTAGTAAGAGCAGACTCACAGCACAATCACAATAAGGGTGCCCAAAAAAATCATACTGTCGTGGCATGTCGTTACTATGAGTAGCTTTTGCACTAGCTTTCGTATTATTTCTGACTGCTTCTGACAATACTGCTACCCATTGATGCGCGAAGGTAACCGCTCGGAGTTGCCACAGCACAACGTCATCCGTGCCAATATGCGCACATTCCCTGCGACCTCCAGGAGAGGAGCTCGCGTTCCGTTGACGATGCTCATCCACACATCACTCCGCTAAGTTTTCTGTGTGATGTGTGATGTGTCAAGTCAAAAGCTACCTTGATGTGGAGCTGAATCAACTGTTAGTCTCATCCTTCCACGCGCTGAGCGGCAGGGAAAGCCTCTGCCCCCTGCGTATGAATCTTCTGTCTTCAATTTTTGCGGACACTGCAGTGGAATGAATCCCGTCCTCGAGTTTAGCCTGTCCTAGGCCTCTGCTGCGAGGTATTTGGGCCGAAGGAATTTTCAGAGTCTGTTCTTCTTCGTTCCCGTTTCCGATGTTGCAAGGGGTATACAAAAAAAATCAAGACCGGCACTGCCCTACCAAAGCCACGATTCCCAGAGTACTTATTTACATAATGTGGATACAATTAAGGCGGTTGTAATACGTTGGCAAATACGATTTCGATATGGTGATAATATGAACTCAAGAAGATTGTCTTTGACTAGGGCTTACGAAAGATGGGATGCCAATCGGGATCTCGGTCGGAAGTGGGCTTGAAATGCGTGCCGTTGGGGGGGGTTGGGGGGCTCGAGGGAGAGCTTTGGGGGGTGGCCGCTTCGCATTGAAATCATATTGAAATCGAATTATCTTTATAAAGGTACAAAAACAGTACGATTTCAAAAGGCTGCGACAGTACGACTAAATGCGATATCAGTACGAAACAGCCACCCCCGTTCCGGGCTGGTGGTGGGGTGGCGGCTTCGTATTGTATTGAAACCGAATTTTGACATAACAATACGATTTTAGCATATTGTTGCGTGAATTGACATTTTGAAAAATTGAAAAATCCACATTAAATCCATGTTCTACGGCCACATTGAAATCGTCTTGACACCGTCCTAAAGCCATATCAAAAAAATGTCCTGCACCCTGCTGTCTCGATTGCAACAGCCTGTCTCGACAAAACACCGTCTGGGCAACCGCATTTCGCGAGGTCTGTCAGTATTTCGGAGCTCTGCCAACCGTCCGTCCAGCATTGCCATAAGAACCTAAGTGCTCAACCCAACCAAGAAGGGAACGACGGCCACAAAGACACCTCATCGTCAGTGCGCAGCCGACATGGAGAAGGCCGTGCTCACGGAAGAGTCAAGCATATTTGGCTACAGCACCCATAGACACAGCTCCGTTGAAGATGTTGAGCTTCCCCAGGTCGGAAAGAAGCAAAGAGGCCATCATCACCTCGCCACAGTCACGGGCCGCTTCTCAACTGCCTGGAGCGGCACCGAGGTCCTGACACCTGCTACCACAGAGCCTGACACATGTGTTTAGATGGTCCAATTATGTCCCAGTCAAGCAAGTATCACAATACAAACAGAGATCTCAGACATCAGCCTGTGGCCCAATGGGTCGTTAAGCTCTCCTGCCCTTCTCCTTGCATGGAGCTTGCGACTCTGAGAACCAAATTAACTCCGAGCAGACCAGATTCCTGGTCGATACAGGGTCGCAATCATCGGCTTTAATATGATGGGATAGACCTGGTGCCAGGATTCCCTTCACAAGAAGGCTCCAATGGCAATAAAGACTGAGCAGCAGGCTCCCACCACACTGGCCTTGGACATGCTACCGGCAGCGCAACCGGGTTCCAGGTTTCAAGCAGAAGTAAGTGCCCCACCCCTGCGCAGAGCCGGGCCAAGTTGCCGGCGCGGCCTCAGACCGGCCGAGTCTTGGCAATGGGGGCCGATCTGTGCCACTTAATTGCCGCAAAGCACCATATTCTGCGCGGTTCTGCACCAAGTTCACGGCTGGTAGGCAGTGAAAGCAGCACGTTCGATTTCACGGCAGAGCCTCAGCAGCTTCGACGGCAGCATCCTTCAGGTTACCACTAAGTATGCAACATCTTCGAAATGGCATACGTAGTTCCACCTGAAGCTTCCAGAATCCTTCTCATAGGAGACAAGATCTGAGCTCGAAAAGAGCACAGTGCTCTGTGAATCTCTGCGATTGAGCGGCCGAAGGTGAAGTACCCCAGCAGAGCGAAGCTGGCACCTGGCAGGCAGGAGTTGAGCAGGTTGCATCTCAGACAGTGTCGGCGAAGCCCCGAACGACTCGCCCGGGCGGCAAACGATGAAAAGCACGGCGAAGCCCCAGTAAACGACCTTCGCGAAGGCGCCTGAAGAGGGCAGACTGGAGCTCTTTGGACAAGGACGGGGTGAAGTAAGGGGAGCTTTTCAGCTTCGCTTCTTGAAGGCCTGGTGATCGGTTTCGCATCTCCCCATACATGGGGAGCACACACCTTGGATTTCACAGGTTGACCCCGAAGCAACAGATCCCGAATGGCGTCCTCTGAGGTCAGCACATTTGCAACACAACAGTCTGCATCATGCTTGCAAACATAGACACCTCTGAGATCAAGAAAACGGAAAGGCATAGCACTGCTCGTGGGCCCATCTATCTCAGCCCAGAAGCACTTCCCCACGAAAGGCCGGCCATGCAGATGGGCAGAGAGGCCTGGCTACTTCGTGACCGCAGCTATTGGCAAGTGCTGCTGGCAAACAAGATTTGCCTTGCTGCCGGCTCTGCCGGTTCAGGCATTGTAAAACACTTCCACACTTTCTCATTTTAACTTCCCCGCAGGCCACATGTAGTCGTAGTCTGGTTTATGCACAAGCACCACAGCCGTCACAACGCTGAAAACTGGCTCCCATAGGGAGGAAAATGGGTGGCGGAAGAGATGGTAGTGGACACAACACCTTGGGCGTGTGTGTAACTTCTACGGGCAGATCGCTGTACTTGTCCGCGGAAGCCCTCTCCTCAGTCCTTGAAGCAACGCACGTCTTCCGGCCGAAGTCCTACCAGGAGCTCGCTTTCAGCCCAAAGCTCCGCCCAGATTTTGGGGTCGTAGGACGTGAATTTGAAGGGCCGGAAGGGCAACAGCTGCTGCGCTGGTTTCGGGAGATCACCAGCCGGATCGAAGTCTATGGAAGCAGTCGGGCGGCCGTCCTGCCAGTAGCGACCCGAGAGTTTGCCTTCTGACTGTGTGGCCAGCACCAAGGAGGTCTTGGCACCTTCTTCTGGCGATTTCAGCACGTAAGAGAAGAAGTCCTTTGCAATCGTCTGCAGAGAGGAGGGCGGGGCCGGGGCCTGGCCGTTGCCCATGTAGCGAGCCAGCTCGGTGTTCACGACGCCAGGGTGGACTGCATTGGCCACCACTGGCAAGCCACGTTCACGGCAGCGCCGGTCCAGCTCGTACGCAAAGAGGACATTTGCAAGCTTCGATTGGCCGTAGGCTCCCCAAGCAGAATATTCGTAGGACTGCAAGTCTCCAAGGTCACCCTTCAGGAGTTGTGATGGAATCTGATGAGCACTCGAACTCAAAGAGATCACACGAGCAGGATCAGCCGCGGACCCGCCTTCAATCAACTTGTCCATGAGAAGGTTGGCCAACAGGAAATGTCCCAAGTGATTCACTCCGAACTGATACTCATATCCGTCCTCCGTCTGTTTGCGATCAGGAAGAGCCATAACGCCCGCGTTCAGGATGAGCGTGTGTATCGGCATCCCTTCCTTCAGGACAGACTGGGCAAAGCTCCGCACTGACTTCAGCGATGCAAGCTCCAGTGGTAAGTATCGAAGTTCCACCGCCTGATCAAGAGTGCCAATTTCCTCCCGTAGCTTGTCCATGGCCTTCTGATGCTTCTCAGCATCTCGTCCTGCCATGATAATGGACGTGTAGATTCCCGAGCGTACAAGGCCCTCAACAGTGGCAAGGCCAATGCCCGTTGAGGCACCAGTAATCACCGCCGCTTTGCCAGAGGTGGAGGAAGAGGAATTGAAGCCGCCCACCATCAAAGAGAACGAGACTGGGCTCACCTCGCTGACCTCTTCGTTACTGACTCGCTTGGCCGGCTGTGCCCGGTGCTGGTGACGAGAAGCACCACTCGAACTTCCGGCTCCTGCAGACGATCCGACAAAAGCCCTCACGTTCACGCCAAGACCCAGACAGAGGCCAAGACAAAGGCTCAGGAAGGCGAAGAGCCTGTGAGGCTCCCGCTTCCCTCTGCCTCTGACCGCCATCGCCGGTCACCAGTACGCACTCGGAACACCCTGGGCCGTGCTAGCCCAGTCGGCCTTGCAGCCTACTGTCGGCACAACGACGAGCATAAACGCATCGGGCGGAGGTGCGGAAGCTGGCAGGACCTCATGCAGCTCACGTCCCCACAAACCTGCTGCTTCACAGCTGCGCCTCGTGATCCTGCATGAACACTGATGTCATCAGTGCGAAGACCTGTGATCCAAGGAATTGGAATGCTGGGTGGTTCATGCAACCCACGTAGGAGCTCGGCCACAGGTGAGGTATGGTGAGGTGACAAAAGCTGAAAAAAGGGACTCGAAGGAAACCACGACAACCAGTACAACCACCAACGCCACCAGCCACCCCACCCGCCACCCCCACCGACACCGGCACCGGCACCGGCACCAGCTCCAGCACCACCAGGACGGACCAGCACCAGCACCACCAGGCGGACCAGCACCAGGACCAGCACAACGACGAGGACGACGAGTCATGGGCAGAACTTCGCCCCTGTGCTCCTTGACCAACTTGCGGGTCGAGTGAAATCGCATCACGACCAATGGCAGTGTTTGCTAATTACATGAATTGCTTTATGCAGGCCTTGCTTTGGACGGCTGAGCTGGATGGGGTGACAAGATTGCCTTGTCTGGGGCAGTGCACCTACTTTTTGCGTTAGCTACATCGTCATGACCCGCTCGCACAAAACAGCTGACTCAGGACCGGATCTGGAACTCTCAGCATCGACAGCAGGACGTCGTTGAATTTTCTGCCTACATGTGCGTGTCCCACGATATTCATGTGGTGCAAGGTCACCTGGCTTCCAGAACTCTTCAAGATGGGGCGGGGAGACAGGTTGATGTGGGGGACACCACTCAGCCGCTTCTACTTGCTATGCCATCTCTGCTACCTGGCCGCACCGATGAGTGCAGGTACAATCACTTTGCATTGGATGGCACAGGATGATGCTCATGCTTTCATTGTCGCGCCCATGGTTCTCATGATACAACTTGGTCGTTCTCGGGCACCCGGTGGACGGGTAACCAAAGTGCGTACACCGATCTTTGTAGACGACATTTTCGTTGAAAATGATGCGCAGATCGGGCACGCCACTTACCGCCGACTTGCAGTGATCTGTCACCCTGTGGCGCACCCACGGGCGGGCCACTTCCGAGCAGCTCTTTGTCACGACTTGGTGCTTTGGTGCTGCGACGATAGACGGCCTGCACAGCAATCGAAACCCTTCCAGCATGGGTACGCAGTAGCTGGTATCTTCTCTTGTATCACAAGATCTCTGACTGATGTTCTTGATTGACGATGTGATCGGTCCACTCTCTTTTCACTTTCCTCGCACGTCATGCTTTAGGTTCTTCGGAGCGGTGACGATGCATTGAGTTGCTCTCGAGAAGACAACACGTTGTGCGATAAGCGCCGGGTCATTGACCTGCTCTTTCTACCGACGCTTGGTGGACCGGTCTCCGCTGCGTTCGAAGCTGCTACTGCTACTGCTACAACGGCTCCTGCTGCTACCACTACCACCACTACTGCTACTGCTGCTGCTGCTGCTCTTACTCCTATTCCTACTCCTACTCCCACTGTACTCCCACTCCCACCTATTCCTAGTGCGACTCCGGCCGCTGCCACTGCCACTGCCACTGCCACTGCCACTGCCACTGCCGCCACCACCACCACCACCACAACTACTACTACAACCACTACTACTGCTACCAATGCTGCTGCTGCTGCTGCTGCTGCTGCTGCTGCTGCTGCTCCTCCTCCTCCTCCTCCTCCTCCTCCTCCTACTACTACTACTACTACTACTACTACTACTACTGCTGTGCTGCTACCCAGCGAGATCGCCGTCAACACCGCCAACAACACGAGCACGGCATGTGGCAGCCACTCGGCATCTACGCATTCTGACTGGTAGGCTGCCCACAAGCATCACCGCGAGCACAGAGAACGTGGATGTAAAAGACAGCAAGCGCTGGTCCTTGGCGGAGCATGACTTGCCAATGTGAAGACTGCATGAGCAGAACCAAGACATTTTCCATCACCTGCCGACCAGACATTCTCCGCATTCGACTGTGAGACCTTCGAAAACACCGTCAGCTGCCTGTGGCACTCCGGTTCCCGGAAAGACGGATTTCAGCCTGAAGCTCCTAGATTCCTAAATCTGTTCGGCCACAACGCCGCGTGAGGGTCCATCGCCTGTGATCAAACAAGCCTTGCCACCGGAACAAGAACTGCAACCTGCACGTATCTGAGACATACTTGGGCAAATTGACAATCTTGTGAGAATGCATGCTCGTCGGCGATGTTGAAAACGAGTTATCTGCCAGAAGCGGGCAAATCATGACCTGATAGGTCGTTGCTTACATCGACATCAGGCAACACTGCCCATGTTGCTATTATCACTGGGCCTGCCGTGAAAACGGCCCAGACTGCAAAACGTAATAAACATTTGGAATTTGAGCAGACTCACCGGCTATGCCGTTCTTACACGTCCCAGCTCAAGATTTTGCTCAAGTATCCTGCGCAAGTATCCAGAGATGCAGAGCACCACACTGTAGCAACACAGCTGCGAAACCCGAGCACTCGTGTCTGCAAGCAGAGGCCTTCCATCCGGAAATTGCGACAATGACACAGAGCGGCGTCGGGACTTCCTTGAAGCCTCGTGTTATTGCCGATGCAAGCTGTGTCACCGCCGCAGAGACAGTTCTACTGACACAATGTGCAAGAAACACTTCCCGATAGGTCATCATTGAAGCTACATACAGCCATCACCTTACAGCCCCGAAGATCTGCAGCTGATCATCAGTTCAGAGTGACTGACCATCTTGCGCAACTCCCTGTGACCCCACAACCAACGACAAAACAAAACGGGCATAGACATATTAAGCAGCAGGAAAGACAGAGAGAGAGAGAGAGCCAGAAACGAGACAGAGAGACCGAGAGACGGAGAGACAGAGAGAGAGAGAGAGACGCACACACACACACACACTCACTCACTCACTCACTCATTGGAGTTATCTGTCGTCGTTGTCAGCATCATGGGCTGCAGTCTTGGACCCTGAATGGCATAACAGGCTTCATGCTAGAGGGCTCTTTGACCTCAGGGGGGCAGTGGCCTGCCAAAGGCTTTAAGACTTCCAATCAAGTGACGGGGTGATAGTGTTGACTGCAGAGAGGCACCCACATGAGCGCATGCGTCCGAGATCGCACGAGCATCCACATGCTTACACGACAAGCACGCACTTGCTCGTACACACAGACACACACTCAGCCAATACTTGCAGGTCCCTCGAGAAGCTGTTTCGCCCAGGGCCAGGAAGCCCAGCCCGAAGAAGTTGCAAAGACTGGAGGCTTAGCATTAAGGATCATTAAGGGTTAGGAAATAATCAAAATCAAAACCCCTTAGCGAATGCGTCGACAAACTTGAGAGTCACGGGCTGGCACGAAAGCTCCATCATGGACAGAGCTGGCGACAGAGGACTGGGAGCGACGGGCGGACGGCATCTGTGTCAATGCATGTTCGGCATCTTGTGAAATGAGAAAAGCGCTTTCTAGGAAAATCCACACTAGACGTGTGCCGAGACAATCCGATACACAATTGAGGTGCAATGTTTGCTGGCGCATCCGAAACATCCTGGAGTGCACACATGCCCATGAAAAGAACTGGGCTCACAAGCGATGTTGCTGCCGAATCCAAAATACCCTAGACAATGCAGTGCGTGCGAATGTCCATGAAAGGAACGGACTCGCAAGAACCCGCATGTCAATGCTGCCCAATTTGTGCGAAGAATCTGGAGACCCTGCTCAGGCTAACAGCAGCTACATGACCAGGAATCAAAATAATCCCTGCAGCCAGCATCAGCAGACCCCGGAAGACTCGAGATCTAGCCCGACAACGCACTCTGGTACCGTCGTTATGGCCAGCCACTGGTGGGTTATGCAAAATTGCCGCCCCCCCCCCCCCCCACCAAACTCCCCCTAGAATCTCAGGCTCACGTTGCGAAGTATTATGCGAAGCTCCCCTGCCAGGGATCTTTCGTGACAAATCGCGAATTGTGAACTAAAAGCGGGGGGGGGGGTTACTCGTCCTGACATGGGCGATACCCCCTTGCTAACTCAGGCCGCTGATGGCTGATACTAGGAAGCTTTCGAGCTTTGGTATGGGCTTCGGCGCAGGCGTGCACGGTGGTTCCACATTGCCGGTATGATGCTTGAAATATTTTTGAACGCCTCTTTTGGGACTTTGGGGCCATTGCGGATACCCAGCAGTGCCAGCACCAGCCAAGTGGCCATTTGCGACGAGACATACCCGTGATAGCTGACCCGCCTGGGACGTTAGATGCACTCTCTGGGTCTTGACGCTCAACTGATACGTAGCTCAAGCTGGCTCCGAGTGTACTTAACTTGGCAAGTCGCCGTCCAGGACTGCATAAAGCACCTGAGAGAAGTTAGCCGGAACGGAGGAAACAAAAATTGCAGGAAACACGACTATGCAGCGGCTATTCGAGGAGCAACCCGAGAACGGGCAGGGCATGGACTGCTCTTGCAAACTCCAGTAAGCACGCGGCCGTATGTCTGAGCTAGATTTCGCGGCTTTGACTTTGTTCTTCCTTCTATGGTATCTTTCCTGAGCAGGACAAGCACCACGCACATCAGGCACATGCTTTGCAAACTTTACTTGCAACTGACACAGGATGAAAAATCACCTCCCCCTCTGGTACGGGCAAGACAAGTTGCCCTGGGGCGGTTGCAGGGAGCACATCCATACCATAACCTGCTCTGAATCAGAACGGTAGGCTCTAAGCACAAATCAAAGGTGGCCCACGGGCTGAACATGACCCAGGGTAAACAAAGTCGTGGACACTGCCTTGAAGTGCTCCATGGTTCAAGATTTTCATTGCCTGCTGGCACTTTTGAAGGCATGCTTTCTTCAACCCTCGAAAGCATGCGGCCGACTTGCACCAGCAAAGAAACAACGGCCCCAAACTTCTGAGGTCCGTTCCGGTGGACGATTGAAGGGATCGACCGCCAGGCACGACTGAAGAAGGTCAGCTGTGTTCGAAGCCACACATGTCCAATCAACCTGACTCTCAGGGCAAGCTTTCTCACTTCCACATACACAACGAAGTGCTGACATACATGACTCACTGGAAAGATGGATTCTTTCGTCCAGGAACGGGCGGAAGGCATCCAGCTGCAAACGCTTTTTTCGCTTCTTGCATAGAGTTCCACGGATGAGAACCCTGCAGCATGAAGCAAAGACCTGAAATACTCAAGCACTGGTCACGGCTATCGGTGCTATGCTGCAATGCACATCTTGAATAAGGCTCCAGCAAAGTCCACTTGCCCAGATGTCTACACGTTCATTCCTTGGAGCTACTCCGAAAACGGACAGCGCAGAAGCAGATGCAAACCTAACTCACACTCATACGACCAAACGCTGTGGTTCTTCTTCTTCCCATGGTATCTTTTGCGGTCTTTTGCTCCACACAAAGGCACTCGAACTTCAGTCAAGGCTCCACAGGCCACCCAACAGCAATTCCGGTGCTGCAAAGTCCTGAAAACAGTGGTGTTTACCGATGACAGTCGGATGTGGACCTCCTTTCAACTATTTTCAGCTGACCACTCCATGAGCTGGTGCATCTGTGACATACAAGCAACTCGCCTTCGTGCCGCGATCGCTGAGCATTGCGGCGCTGCCCTCACCTTGGCCGATAACCTGGCGCATAGGGCCGAGTGCCGAGACGGAGTCTCAGATGGCACTCTTTGCAACGAAGGCCTTCGCGCTGTTGAAGTCAGTGAGTTTCAGAGCTCTTGCCCCATCTGTCAAGAGGCAATTGTCTGGTTTGATGTCCTCAGAGTCAGAAAGCATAACTACCTGAATGTTGCGCAGGTGACAAAGGCATGCCACTGCATCCAAGTGTCTCTATGAACGATTCTTCTCTGGTGCAAGAAGTCGACAGCTCCTGAAGCAAAGAGAAGTAAGTGGCCCCGCGCGACGGAAGCGCGAAGCAGCAGAAAGCAGAGGATCCTAGCAGCTGTCGAAAGAGGGCCAGGGCATCGTTCTCTTCGAAGAGCCCACTCCGCTCGAGGTATCGCTGCAACTGCAGGGGCAGAAAGAACGGGAAGTCCGGTCGTTAGTGGGCAAACTCGCATGACTGCAAATATCAACTTCCTGCAGATCTCTGAGGAGATCACACTACCTTGCTCGCAAAACTCCAGAAGGAGACACATCGAGCTTGCGGAGTAGAAGAGACCTCAGCTTCCAAGTCATCGCATCTGGTTACCATCTGGCTAGGCGAAGAGAAGGCTGCAGTTCGCAGCCCTGACCCTTGGCCGCCTTGGCCCTAGCCCTAAGCCAAGGCACCGTATGCCTCGACTATGCCACTGTGCTTGAAAGAAGACAGAAGCTCGTACTCCTGAGACAGTGACTGGCCATGGCCCACTACGGTGTCCACCGTGATGAAATGCTGCGAACAACTGAACGCAGAATGCTCAGACTTCAGAAATTTTGGAATCCCCGTTTCACAACAATGCAACATGCGAGACCGATTTGGCTAACGGCTAAGTGCCGACAGAGCCGTGGCGTCCTGAGTAGTGACTTTCCGAACCTCTTCCTCATCTCCAAAACGGTGCACGAACTTAGCCGCGCGGGAGTGGTTGTCGGACTTCCGAACGACTCTGTAAACGACGGCCGTTCTTCCACCTCCTCGGGAGTTTCGGACTTACAGTGCAGCAGCCCATCGAGCTTCAGCAACAAGACCCGTGAATCGGGTAGTGATCCCTCTCCTAGTTTCTCGGCGAGGACATGGCCATCAGGCACAGGAAACCTCGGCGACGAAGGCGAGGCTGGCGCGGAAACCTCAGGATTCTCCAAGCACTGAGCCCATCTACAACTGCTGTTTTCAAGACTCCCTTGTATCAACACTTGGAAGCCGCGGCCTCACGACGCCATGTCGAAGGAAAGCCCAGTGTCAACGTCTTTTGGATGGACAACTTCCGCTGCACTGGTGGACCGGGTTGCGGGTTGCAGACGCCGCAAGCCATGGACCAAGGAGCTAAACTAAGAGCTAGAACGGTAGAAAAGAGTCTTCAGCCTAGCTAAGGGATCCCCGCATCAGCACCAGGAAAGAATGGTGCACCTTCTGGGGTTGATTGGTCGGACCTTGACTCAGAAGCTCTCACCAAAGTCGCTATACGTCTTCTGTGTGGTGTGTTTGAACAAGGCAAACTCAGGACATATCTACCTGGAGCCATGCCACCGTCGCCGACCCGCGACACATCAGCTTTCTCTTCTCTGACAGAATCTGCAGACCCCTGGAGGTCGCCCAAGCAAGCATCTGAACTGGGGCCGCTTCCAAGAAACAAAGAGGAAGGACCTTCAGCGGTGCAATGCTCCACGCTCTGCACCCAGACAAACAAAGAGGCTTCTGCGTTCTGCGGGGGAAGAACTAGGACCACAGCCAAGACGGAGGTCAAAGCTTTCAGTTTCCACGTTGCCACGCCGGCAATCGGGCCAGCGCAGTCGGCCTTGGCCGATGAGCAGAATCCAGATTTCTGTTTCGGTCCGGTCCAGCCATGTCAGACGTCCTACTGCATTGCTCTTCACGGAAGGATCAGAGGGAGAAGACCTATGATGAAGTGACTGGCATCCGGGAGTACCGAGCAGCCAGCGATGACTATGACGTAGGAGACGAGACAAAAGAAGCCTCCAATCCTCTCGGTCGCTTTCTGCGAACATGCTAGTGACTGCTAGTGCATGCTGGTGCAGGAGGGGTTTCAAAGCTGGGGCCCCGTCCAGATAACTGCATTTACCGCCGGCGGAGCTACTCGTCCGAGAGCTCCGGGCCTTGAGCACCAGAGCGCAATCCCATTAGAGAGCAATGCTCGCTGTGGCTGTGTAGCCCCTTGGCGCCCGGCAAACTCGAAAGTAAAGATCCAATATCAAACGCCTGATGGGCCTCGGCCGCCTCGATTAAGATGAAGATGGTCCAAGCCTCAGAGAGACCGCTCCGGGGCGCTGCTCGCATCTCTACGCCTGAGGCAGCCGCATTCAATGCCAGTACGCCTGCTACGATAAGAACGCCAACCATACAGGACGCACCTGCTCCGGGCAGCAGAGTTGCCAACATCGAGATTGTGATGGATTGTGCACTCGAGACAGCACGGAACGAAGAAGTCATGCAAACACCGCCCTCTGTTGAAAGTCAGGACCCTGTCAATCAGTTGAGCGGCCTGCAGTACTCCAAGGCAGTGTGAAAATCCCAGTACCGAGGCCACAAACCACGAGGTTGAGCGTGAGCTGGGGGCCTCACACTGCAACGAAACGCGATCGATCGAGGAATCAGATCTACTGATGTTGCACGACAGCTCAAGAACACGACCACGGCGATGAAGAGGACTTGCCGCTACTTCGGATGGGGTCTGCTCATAACACTCACATCGTGGCAAGCACCGTGCTTCTACTTTCTTGATTTGACATTCTGCCTAGCTACAATGCGCACATCGACGCTAAATGGCAAGTAGAGGGCTCTCGGTCAAGATTTGATGCTCGAGCTCCGCGGAGTCAGTTGCCCCCTGATTGCAAAGTCAAACCAGTGTCGTGGCACCCCCGCCTGTGGCTTTGCCATCTGGAGCAGCTTTGGTGGGTTTCAGAAGCTGCGTCGTCTCTGTTGGCCCATCAGCCTTCCTCAGCGACCATGCAAAATTACATGCAAAAGTCTTCGAACAAGTGCACCAAATTGTCCAGCATGTGTCGTCGCACCGGGTGCGTCATGATTTCCGTGCAAACAACAATGCCATAGAAGCAACGGGTTCTCAACAGTCTTGATAGGTTGCTGCAGATGCATGTTTGTGCATCTACGTCTGGTGAACAAACTCACAACCGTGCTTGCACTCATCATCCTTTTTTTGCATTCTTAAAAACATCGAAATGGCCTTCTGCACACCAGTTTGATCCTCTTCACTACGACCCGGAGTTGCGCCACCTGTCGTGCGCCTGGCCAACCCAAGAAAGTGAAGTTGCAGAGCGCCGAAGACTTGGCGGCCCCCCTCCTCCCTCCTCCCTGCCCCTCCCGAGAGGCAGTTCTGCGCGGAGTGCTTTTGCTCGGCTGCTGAGCCTCAGATGCCTCAGTCTCTGCCAGCATTCCGTCTCTTCCCGAAGCCTTTCACGCGCGTTCACTTCCGAATCATCTCCCTGCCGCTCTGGAAGGAACGCAACTTCACACTCACACCGGCTTCCATCCGACCAATTTGTCCAGAAGCTTCCATTCTCGCAAGAAAACCGTCGTAGGCCCGAGACTCGTCCGCCAAACGGCGAGTCATGGCAAGCTCAAGTGCCATCTTTGACGTAGTCTTCGGGCGAAGCAGTTTCTTTTCGTACCAGTATGTCGCAGAAATTATGTAAGAAATTATGTAAGGCAGCCTGCTGAATCCGAAACCTACAACCCTCACCTCCATGCACCGTGCCAAAGCAAGGTAGACGGACCGAAGCCAAGGGCTTTGCAGGCCACTGCAGGATCCCAAACGAAAACACGCCACCACGTCAAAGAAGGAGTGAGTACAGAGAACTCAGCGAGCGGTGGAGCTATTCGTTCAGAAGCATCCGTTTCAGCACCAACAAATGGCGCGTGAGTATGACAAGATCCGGAAACTCCTTAAGAACGATCAACGAGACGGGAGATGACGGGAGCATACACAAGGAACGCTTCCGAGAGAAGCTCGGAGATCGAACACGTTTTGATAACCTGCGGCGGCTGCGCATTTGCGAACTGTTGGAGGACCGGCTGTTCAACGTGCAGCGTAAGACCAAGGCGGAACATGCCAGGTTAACAATTCAAAGCCTGCTGCAAGATAGAGCACCTGCGGACACTTGATAGATTCTGCATTCCGGCTTAAGTCGACAAGAGAACAACAACGACAAAAATGCCCGAGCTGAAGCTTGTCTGAACAGTCCGAAGGCTAAAGAAGAGACGACGAAGGAGAAGCACTCAGCAATCGCATAAAGGTCTTGGACGTCAGTACATGAGGCGGGTGATAACTGCTATCGAGCATCCTCTCAGTTCCTTGTACAGTGGACTCCATGAGATTGCGGAGGTGAGTTACACGGCTGACGCCGCATGATCCATCGTCACACTTGCATTGGGATCTCGCAGAAAAGAGAGCCTGCGGATGCGGTAGCACATGCCACACAACCTGTGGTCCGTTGCAACGCAACTCCCCTTTTCTCAGCTTGTCTGCATCTTTCCTGATACTTTCTGCACACGATTTACGTCATGTAAGATGCACGCTGGAAGTGGGCCCATTGCTAAACAAGCTTCCAATCTCATGTTGACTGAATCTAACTTCCATTCATCCTCGCATTGCTAGGGTGCACGTTTTTTCACGTCGGAGAGCGGCTGTAGCATGTAACGTGCGAGCGGCAGCTCTTCTTTGCGAAGGCTGATCACGGAAAAGCATGAAATCTTGCCTACCTTCATCGGTGCTGTCAAGGTGTTCTGGCTTTTTTGTACATGCACATGTAGCCTCCTAAACTGAAAGTTGTGAAGGTGCAGCGACGCTCAGCTGGTGCAAGGGCGGACTCCATCACCAGCGCCGGCCTGCCCAACGCCAGCACGTTTCAACTGCTTCGGGAGACGCACTTCGGAGCGTCTCTCTCTCTGAAATGCTGGGATACTTGTAACATCCTTCCAAATGTCGCGTTCTGGCAAGCTGAAGTTGCAGCCTCTGGCAGCTCCCCAGAGACCCGCGAGCCTTAGGCCGACGTCACGACGACCCCCAGACACCGAGACTCGTTCCCTCGCATGGGTTTCGGACACTGCTGCGCCGGCGAGGCTGCCCATGGCGGGCACCTCCCAGAGAAGATACATGAGAAACTCTTGGATCAACAAACCTCCTAGGCCTCAATATGACTAGATGTGAGCGATCATGTGACTGAGTCAGCGTTTCTCTGCGGGAAGTCGAACGATGGCTGCGATCGCGGTGTCGCCCTCGCCTGTGGCTTTGAAGGCAGAGCCTCTGCTGCCGTGGTTTTCCTGGCCTGGCACCAGAAACGAGAACGTCGAAGGCCAAAGAAGCAGAGGTGACTCGAAGCACCTGTTTCCGTGCTTTTTTGAGATCAATCGCCCCTTTGTTGAAGCCAACCTGGAGCAGTCACAGCGGAAAAGTGCCATCAGAGGCAGTTGGTGTCATAGCACGGGCACGGATGCACTGGGTCGCAGACACCAACTTGTTCGTTGTTGGTCTTGTACTCCTTGTCATACTTTTCGTAATACCTGCAGGGTTCAAACAGGACAAGTCCGCAAGGAGTCTTCCAGAATCCCAGCCAGGCTATCGGCCGCCGTGAAGCAGCTTGAAGGTAGACGTAGAGGGTGCTAAGAAAAACAAGACACCCATCAACCAAGAGCAGAAAGCGACGCGCCACAACAGATTGCTACTCCATGGAGAAGGGGAAAGGAACGAGACGGGGAGAAGAAGTCACGAGCCAAGAACACTGGCGGCCGGGGGCCGTTCGGCGGTTCTTCTTCTGTCCCACTTCGTGATGTCATGTCATTTCGTGTCCCGCTGCGTCAGGTCTTGCTTCGTCTCCTGTAGACTTGTCGAAGCGATGCAAGGAATTCTCGGACAGTTTCGGTGAATATCGGCCTTCCAAGGGTTTGGGAGTGGGTTCGACACCATGAACAAAGCTTCTCAGCAATTGGTTGCCATCCATTTCTGCGGATGTTGGTTGCACTCGCAATGCTGAGCTTCTCCGGCCTCAAACTCTGCCAAGGGATTGTGCGGGCATGCTCATGCTGGCTTGTAAAAGCCCCAATAGGCTAGGCGTTCTTCTGAGGTCGTGAAAATAAGGTCGTGTCACCATTGTAGTACTTGGGGTTCGCGTTCAGGTCGCTGCTGCAGGCAATTGAGATTGCTGGCATTTGCTTACGGCTTGCGGCTTCGACTGTGGCAAAGACTGTGCGATGCCTGCAGGAGCGTTTCAGTTTCGGAGTCTGGTCACTAGTCGCGGGTAGTGGACACAGCAAAGCCAAACCGATTGCCTCCTCTCGAAGGCGATCTCTCTGGGAAACTCAAGCTTCTCGTTCCGCAGCCTTCCCCAGCCTCGCAGAAGGCTGCTAGGATTCAATAACACGAAACTCTTCGCTTGGGATCACGACGTCTCTTGTCTGTTCATGAACTTCATGAAAACCGAGCCACCAAATGCCAGCCCCGAACCGACCAGACCTGGACGCGCGTACCACTCGGTCTCAGCCGAATCCAAATCCTGAACAGCGCCCGGCTTTTACATGCCAGGCAGGAAATCAGCAGGTCACTTAGCTTTGCAAAGGGCCTCGTTCTCCTTCATCCAGTTCGCAAGTGTCGGCCTGTCCTTGCACGGGTCGCAAGATGCTGGGGCCACAACCCATTCCGGGCAGGACTTGGTCGAGGACCGGTGCATCTTCTGACAGCGGCTCGCTATCCTGAAGGAGAGCAACGGTGGAAACCACCCCTCTGCAGGGAGGTCACCTTATGGACATGACGAGAGTCCTCAGGCTCGACTGACGCTGCTGCAGCAAGCTCTCGCTGCTTGAGGAAAGTCTTGGCCAGGGCCTGCGGTGCTGCAAGGAGACCCGTTTCTCCTAGCAACTCAGTAGCTCCGGAGTCCGATGTTCCACGCTCCTGTCGCTCCGGAAGATGAGGCCGCGGCGATCTTGTACTGCCACTCGTACAAGCTGCCGGCTGACGGTTGCTTTCGTCGGAATTTCTGGCAAGAGTTTCGCAGAGCAGCAAGACAGGGTTTTGGGTTTAGGGTGATAGCTGGCAGCGGGCCTCCATACGATGGTGCAGCGTCATTCGACGCCTCAGAATGTGCGTACATGAGCAAAGGAAAGGGTGCTCTGAGTTTTCTGAGCTGCAGACGCTTTTGTGATGGTCTCATGGAGTTCTTCATCTGTCATGGTCCGGAGCTCCTTACGGTACTTCGCCTTGCAAAGCAGACTGCGCAGAGAGCCGACGGTCCCAACGACCGGAGCTCCATGGAATGGAGAGGCCCCGAAAACTCTCCGACTCTCCGAGTTCCAAGCGTGCGCGTAGCCGCCGTGCGACACGCGCTGGGCGACTTTGGGCTCTCGGAGATCCTCGCAGCAAAGCGGCGAGGTCGGAAGGTCGCAGGATGAGGTGTTTTCACTGGCACCTGGGTACTCCAAGATTCGGCCGTGCAAAAATGGGCGCCATGCCGATAACCACAGGTCAGAGTAGATTTACATCCTTGAGTCTTGGGTGAGCTCGGAGCTAAGTGACATCCCATCTCAGGTCCTGCCATGGTGCGGTCACGAAGGCCTCGGCCAAAAAGGATCCCGGGCTCTTAGAGCAGCGAAAGTCAAGCTTCGGGAGACACGGCTCCGCCTCGCCTGCGAAGGTGATGCTGCATAGCCGGCCACGAAGAGCCTGAGTTCAAGCTAAGTGATGTGCCAACTTGCTACTCCCAATTCGCCCAACACCAGCATTTGCCACAGCTGCCGTAGCATCGCTTGACGGACGGCTTACGACTTTCGCTGAGGCCCTCTCAGGAACCCAGTGCCGCAGGCAGCTGCAGTCAGCACACGGAGCCTCAAAAGCAACTAGTGTAGGATCGTGCGTCGCCGTGTCTTCGGCACATGAGAAGCACGGGCATTGAGAGATGTGTGCCGAGGCTTTTTCAGACAGCTCAGTCAGTCACTCAGTCAGTCCGTCAGTCAGCGCTCGAAAAGGGACATGTACTGTGAAGAGTCAAGGAACTCAAAGTCAGCTAGCCGAGCTTTAAACAACACAAAAGTCTCGCAGCCCCAAAGGACAGCTGCGGCTGAAGAACAACTCTCCGGAGTTGATCTGATCATCTGATCATCTGATCGGTTGGTGCAGAAAAATCTTAAATGCCAGGACCAGGGATTTGGGCAACCTTCGTCCCGCCGATCGATATTCATGACGCAGATTTATCAATCTCCCAAAATCTAGGACGAAGCGGATGCCTCGTGGCCCCTAAGAGACGGAAATAGGCATCTGCCGCTGGAATTGCTGCTGCAATCTCCGTATGTCCTGCATCCTGAGTGACCGAGCACAAATCATCGCATCATGCGCTCTTGCTGTGGCTGCTACTTATCTCATCGACCTACAGGTCCTGCTAAGCTCCATGCTGTTCCGGGCTGAAGATCGGTTGTTTAGCTGAGCCTGGCCTCAGATGTTGCAAAGTCTGCCTCGGAACCTCGTTGCACAAGACCATGTCTCACACCCGTCGTCCAGCCCAGCCACGGGTTAAAGTCGTCATTCACCTCCACATTCAGCTGGATTTCGGGCTGTGCCTCTGGCATGTCCTCAGAAAATAGACAGTGGCTCAGCTTGCCTGCGAGCTTTCTCGTTTATGACTGGCAGGACACCCGAGCAGCAGGAAACTTGTCACTTGTGCGCAATCAGCATGCGTCCAAGCCGCAACGGGACCATACCTCTGCACAAGGGCGAACTGGTATCATGTGCAATTTGTATTTATATACAAGATGTACATGTATGTCTGTGCCGTCATGTGCCCTTACATATATACATACCTCGTTAGGCAGACGGACAGACGGGAGGATGCAGACTCGATCCAGAGTGCCGACAGACGGACGGACGGACAGACAGACAGACACACAGACAGACACACGTGCAGACATACGTGCATACATGTACCTTTAAAAGAAAAGCGCGCGCACACACACACACGCACATACGCAATGTATACACATGTATGTATATATATATATATATATATATATATCGGACACGGCTGCTGGCATGAAATGCGCAGTAGCTGTCCGTGCTGTCTGCGTCCCAAGAGCTTCTGAAAGAATTCGTTCAGCTCATTCAGCTTTTTCAGCGGCCTGGGCGGGATGCTTCGCAACAGCAGAGCTTTCTATGTGCCTCAAGATCCGGCAAGGCACTCTGTGCCGAATGTTGGTGGCCGCCGCGGCGACAATCATGATCGACGGATGGATCGATGGATGGCTGTGACAAAGCCCGCGGTACAGTGAGCCCTACCAAACGAACAGGGAGGGGGCCACAGCGAGAGGCCCAGGGAGAGGCACGGCCGGAGGCGGCGTAGAGAGTAACAGAGGCGGCGACAGATTTGTTAGGCCACCAAAAAGGGTAACGAGAGTGCTTACAGCTTGCAGCAGCTGATCTCCGTACGTCAGAAGCACGCACACACACACACTGCCACGGAAGAAGTGTAGTCTGCACTGCCGGATGTATGTCCACAAGGGACGTCCAGTGTAAAACGATTGTGTTGGTAATGGTGATGATAACGAATATGAGATGAAGGGTTTGTGCCAAGTACGCCAGACCGAAGGAATGGCAAACGAAAACGGAATGAGCTGATCCGTCAGGGGTAAGGTTTCTGCCCTTTGCTATGCCAGACACAAAGGCATGATCTCATGCACGAGAGAAGTGCACGCACACTCACACACATACATACAAACACACACACACACACACACGCACGCGACCCATGTCCTGCCTTGGCAAAGCGAGAAAAAGTGCATTCGACCAGCACAGGAAAAAGGGCGATGCAAGCGGGCATGAAAACAACATTCAAGCACCTCCACACTCGCAAGCGTGACGGTTTTGTGACAGCTTCTTCTCCTAGGAAGATGGTATGTCTTGTCTACAAGCTGCATCATTCGATGCAGTGCGTGCGAGTAGCAATCCGGGTGAACACGTGCTGTGATCATCAACCACCGCATTTCCCGTTTTTGATCAGACACCGGGACGTCCGCATCGGCCATCCAAGAGAGCACTTCGAATCATTTTTGAGAGAGCACTACGAACTCCGGGAGAGAAGAAGCAGACTCCTCTCAGCTCAGCTTGGAATGCCTCGGCATCACGACGTCCTGGCCATCATATGGAGAATGAGAAAGGGCGAAAGGGTTTTTTTCCCAACGCTGGCGGTCCCCCGTATCCTTTGCTAACGTTGGCTTTCTGTCTTGGTTGCAACTACTGTCAACTGCGGCCTTTGATCCTGTTCTGCAGGAAGCTATCGGGGGAATTCCAATTTGCAGGGTTCCGTTACACCCCAAGCTATTGGGGGGATTACAATTTCCAGGCTCCTATCTTGCGTCAAGCTATTTGGGAATAGCAACTTGCAGCGTCTTGCTTTGCATCAGGCTATCGGGAATTTCAATTTGCAGCGTCTTGCTTTGCGCAGGCTATTGGGGAATTCCAATTAGGGTCCTGTTTTGCTTCAATCTACTGGGAAATTGCTATTTCACTTCTCCTGTCTCGTGTCAAGAATTGAGGAATTAGAGTTTGCAGGGTCTTGCTTTGCGCAAGCTATCGGGGAATTCCAATTTGCAGGGTCCTGTTTTGCTTTGTTTTACCCCAAACGATTGGGAGATTACAATGTCGAGACTGTTGGGTTATGTCCACCTACTGGTCAACTACAATTCGCTGGGTCTCGCTTTGCGCCAAGCTGTTGGGGAAATCCAATTTGCAGGCTCCTTTGTCTTGCGTCAGGCAGGGACGATTGTAGTTCATCATAATTCGTAAATTGGCCCCTCTTTTGGCGATTCCGGTTCAAATTACGTTTTAGACATGCCCGTTCATGTGGCAATTCTGGCTCTTCATATATCTTCAACCCGCCCCCCCCTTTGGCGATTCTGGTTCATCATATATCTTCATCACGCCTCCTCATGCGGCGATTCCGGTTCATCATATATCTTAAACACGCCTCCCCCCATTGGGGGAGACCGGTTCATCACATAGCGTAAACACGCCCATACCCCCCATTAAATCGTATCTTGAACACCCACACGCACACACACACACACCCACCCCTCATTTGCCAATTCCGATTCGGCGCATTTGCTAAACCCGCCCCCAACTTTTCACGGGCCGCGGCCCGTGTCCCGCAGCATGTGATTTCGAAGCGACCTTGTGCGGCTTGAACAAGCTGAGCGGGGGGGATAACACAGCTGCTGCTTCTGCTGCGGCTGCTGTTGTTGTTGTTGGGTGTGGCTGCTGTTGCTGTTGCTGTTGCTGCTGTTGCTGTTGCTGTTGCTGTTGCTGCTGTTGCTGTTGCTGTTGCTGTTGTGCTATTGTTGTTTTTGTTGTGTTTGCTGTTGCTGCTGCTGTCGTCGTTGTTGAGCATATATCTGAAACACGCCCTCAAACTTTGCTGCATCATGTATCTTAGATACTCCCCTCCTTTGGCAATTCCGGTTCTTCATGATATCTTTTACGAAGCCCCTCATTTGGCGATTCCGGTTCATCATATATCTAGACTAAACACGACCCATCACGTGGCGATTCTGGTTCATCAGAATATGTTCGACGGGCCCCCTCCTTTGGCGATTCCGATTCATCATACTATGTCTTCAGCACGCCTTATGTGGTGATTCCGGCTCATCACCCCCTGAGAAAGGGAGCCACTGAAAAATCGTTGCTGCATCACCAAATCCACCGTCCACGAGAGAATCAAAGCCCCAATCGCCAGTGATGTGGTTCTGTTGACTACCACAGCCCACTGCAACTGACTGTAACTGCAACTGCTTCCAACCCGTGGCGTTCAGCGACCGTGACTTCCACCTCCTGCCGAATGTGTCCTGCACATGTAGGGTTCCGACTCCGTCTTCCACACGTCGGGCGAAAGATGATTTGTGACCATGACCTGAGTTTGAGACATCCGCTTGCTCGGCATGCTAATGTTCAACAAGCCAGATTGTTTTCCTACCGCTCTGTTGCATGGTGCCTTGCGGCCATACCGCAGATAATGCAGGCTGCATGTTGGTGCCGAAACTCACCCCCCTCCCCTCCCCGACACCCATCGAACGTCACCGAGCAGCCCTCAACCAGCACTCTCCTGGTGCCAGAGCAGTGGGGCGAACCTGGGCATTCACGGCTTCTGGAGTGGCTGCAGGCCATGCGGAACCCAACATGCACGGCATCGAGCCTTCGCTGATGAGGATGAAGCCTCGGCAAGCGGAGCTTGCTGACAGGATTGGCAAAACTAGTACTGACATGTTGACAGGAGGGATTTGCATGCATACCAGTGAAAAAGAAACCACGGGAAGTCTTCGAAGCCAGGTGACAACTTGCTCCCTCTTGATCTTGGAGTCGCTCCTCTTGGTTTCTGGCTTTGCAGGCTCCTGCGAATGCAGATTTTTTGGAATGCTGCCAACAGTGTCATGAGTCTACAGCATTGCAAGAGGCAGAAGCAACACAGCAATGCGGTTGAGCCAGTCTCCTTCTTGGGAACCTGGCAGACACGTGGTGCACGCGCCGTCTGCAGCCGATTCACTGCCCAAGTCCACAGTCTCACTGATGGCATTGCGACAATATGGTCATACCGACAACTTACCATGCGCACGCCTGCCGAGGAGGCGCCGGTGGAACAGGCATACTCATCTTGTGCTGCGCAGGCCTCAGGTACTCGACGAAGACGGGCACAAGCACCCTGGTAAAGCAGGCTCCGTCCCTAAATCAAAGGCTGTCAAGTCGCTGTGCTTGTGACCAAACGCCATATTGCGGGATTTGCTGGCCAGGCATAGGCCGCATCGCGTCCACCTGCACTGACCCGACAGCACATACCCGACCACACTGGATTTGAGTCAAGGTACCTTCGCCATGTGCCGCATTTGGAGCTTTGGGTCCTCAATGTGCAGGACACCCTCTCAGGCCTACATTGCCCAACTCTGCAGCAACAAAGACCCCTCAACTAGCACAGCACCCGGCATCATCCTGCGGCGGCATCGTTTCCCACTGCATCGGCAGTTCAGGACGTGGTGGCGGTGGCGGCGGAGGTGGTATCTTTGCGGCAAAACCACTTGCACCGAACATGACCTTGGAAGCAGAAGTACAATTGCGCAAGCACGTACAGTGTGCTGTCATTGCTTCGGGTCGCTGGTTGGTAGCAAACAAACCTTACAAGGTAACCGCTAGCCTGCAGCTAGCATAACGAAGACATGAACCACGACTTGCTCGGCATCCTGGGCGCTAAGCTTGCAAAATCGGGTTCAGTGAATAAGCCTAACTGCGAGGAACCTGGCATGGCATTGATGATGTGGCCTGAATCGATCCTGCGGCTCTATGCTGCTGAAGCTTGCAAAAAACACAAACACTTACGACGTGGAAGGCATGCCAGTCGTGGGTGGCAAGCAAGGTGTGGTAAGATGAAAATGAAATGCCGAGTCTGTCCTCCTCCTTTGCCGGGGATTGTGACATGCGAAGGCGCGTGTTCTTGTTCTAGCTCTTTCTGCCAGGAGCAGAAGGATCTCCCTTCTTCAGTCTTGAGTAGAGGTGCAAACTCCGCTCAGCGCAGGAGCACATGCAAAGCGCGTCAAGAAACAGCCCTGTGCCATGCAGGGCATGGCCGGTGCAACGTTCACAGCTTGCGCCACTGGCGTTGACGTGAGCTGTGACGCCCAAGGCCCGAGCAGAGACGAAGTCTTTCGACGTGGAGCTTCGATTCATGTCATCCCTTGCCCCCCCCCCCGGCCCCCGCTCCCAGCCTCGCTGCGTATTCCGATTTCTGGACAGAAAGCTTAGTTGCTTGGGCACCTGCTGGCACCTAGGATGTTGCTTGGAAGGCTTGCTTCCTGCCAATTGTGAGGAATATTTCTACGCCAGCAGTCCGGCGGTGGTAGGTCGAAGTCCAATTAGCTTTCAAGGGGCAGTTGGCGACAGGTGAAGCGACAGCGCCGAGGGCGCACTTCACACTTCGCACTTTTCGAGATCTTCGAGAATGCTGCAAGCAACAAGAGAAGCTGTGCTCAAGCCAAGCTGCACCCTGAGACATGTCCTCACAAATCAACTCAGGATGACAGCAGCACAGCACCAGTCACCCAGCGAACAGGTCCTTCATGCCACCTCTCATCTGAAGAGGGAGCGTGTCCTCCACCGCGCTGGCCGACTTCGGAAATTCCTTCAAGTCCAGATGGAAGATCATCGGGGGCCGCAGGTTGGATTTGACAGAGAAGGCGAACCGACATCCAGAGGGACAAAAGGGCAGAGGGAGAGAAAATATCCTGCCTGCATCTGCCCCATGCGGGCTGCCAAAACCTGCCGCCTGCCACAAGTTGCTTTGCACTTGGGCGGAATTTTCTGAAACCACTGGAACGACTGGCAGCCAAGCTGCTGCATCTTGTAGGACGCCTTAGCTGCAGCATGTGGCGATGCCCGAATTAACAAGGTGTCAAGGGATCCTTTTGCGACCGAGGCGCCATCTCATACGTCGAAAAATGACACTGCTGAATGGCCTCCGCCAGGCTATGCTGCGAGCCTGACGCACGGCACGCAGAGGTCCTCTCTCTCTCTCTCTCGCTCTCTCTCCGGGCATCGTGCCCACCCGAAGTGTTTTCGGGTTAGGTCCTCTCTCTCTCTCTTTCTCGTCGTCTCTCCCTTTGTTTCTTTCTTTCACCAGGCTTGAAGGCACGTCCCCGCGGGAGCAGCTCGTCGGTTTAAGGAGCGCACGGTGTTGCGTGCGAAAGGGTGTCAAGATACTCCGAAGCTATGAGTTGACACAAGCACAATATCTACGGTCACCAGTCTCGATGTACTGACCTACGTTACTAATGCCGCGATCCACTGTCTCTTGGGCCTGGCACAGATGCTGCACTGGACCCCTTTGTGACACACCCCTTTTGACAACAGAACCAAGCCCGGTTACCTGGTTGCACAGCAAGCTACGAGCAGCAGACACAACGGTTTAGGGGTTCGACACACAGATCAGAAGTTGCTACCCCGGTGGCGACAGTATTTCAGGATCAACTCCCTGTAGCGCTTGGCATGTGTCGCAACAACTATTTTAAGGTAACTTTGAGCACAGGCAGTCGCGGTGTTTTCGTTGGAAAGCAACAGCCGCTGAAGCAAGCCTAAACAACACGAAAACGGCCAACGCATGTATAAATTACTGCTTCTTCTCGTTTTTTATTTCACGAGGGTAGAGACGAGGGCAGATCCTTCGCCTGGGCGCGTTGGTGCCCCCCCAAATGTTTTGGGAGGAAAAGCAAGCCACGGGAACCTCGGTGCCTACACAGCAACTACATTCGTATCAGCCACAGCTACCCAGAAGCAACAAATACCCGGCACCGCATTCCAAGTAGTGAGTGTGGTCATCTACTTAGTTCCCAGCGTCAACACACACACAATCATACCAATGCCAAAGAGGGCCTATGGGCCTATGTATTGGTAAGGCAGGAGACTCATGTTTACCTTTCACTGCACACTTGGCAGCACGACTGTGAGGTACTGGGACAGTGCGATTTTCTCTGGAGCAAGTGGTGAAAAAGTACACAGACCCTGGTTAAAGTCTTTGCTTTGCTTTGCTCTGGGGCAAGGAGAAAGGGCAGTCCCATTTCCCCGCTCAGGTGAGCAGCCCCGTCCACCATTTTGGTTGACGGGCTCGGCTGTACGTGGGTCTTTCGTTCTTGGGCTGTTGCTCTGACCTAGTCCCCTTGTCAGCGAACTGGTTAAAGCCTCTTCGCTTCGCTTCGCTTCGCTGGGGTCAGGCTCTCTCTCTCTCTTCTTCTTCTTCTTCAACTCGGCCAGGAGAGTCGGGGCAAGAACCCCTCCCCTCCGCGCGATTTCGCGCACCGGGGATGTTGGGCTCTTTCGCCAGCCGCCCGCTGTTGGCGGTGCGCATGGTATTACATGCGGTAAGCTAGAGTTACGGCCACCCCGACTGTAGACACGGCAAACATAGTATGCTAGGTAAGGCTGGGTGTGGCTGCAAGGCGGCTGTTCCGCCCCTGTGTGTTTCCCCGAAGCTGTTTACAAGCAAACTGTGTACTAAGCTCCACGCCATGTGTATTGGTCACCCGGGGTCACACAACGACAGGTCCCTACTCTCACAAGACTGGTGGCTCACTGTGGGGCTTCTGTGTTACTTGCCTGCATAAATGCACTACAGGCCTATGTGGGTCTAAGTGCCTCGGGGGTTCCCAGCAGTGGGCCTCTGTACGGGTTCTGTGTGGACCATTCGCCCCAACAAACAACAGCAAAACACGTGGCCTTGGGGTCCCATGCAGTATCATACTACGGGCGAGGTCCCTGGTGTGGTGTACGACTGCAGCCTTGGTTTGGGAAGCAAAACCCTACGGCAACATGAAGCATCACAGGACAGGCTGCACGTCGCCCCGACACTCAGTCGCTACTGTCTAGACTCGGCGAGCTCAAGGGTGTTGGTCTGTCAGTGGGGCTCGTCGTGACTCTGCGTCTGCTACATGGTTCCGCGTAGGCCGCCATCGCCTCCAACTCGTTGTTCTCCCCCGCTGCTCCGTCTAAGGTCGCCGGCCCCGGATCTCCGGGACGTGGTGTTGCCCCGTCACTGGGCTGACTGCACGCCCCTTGCTGGACTAGCCCCAGCGTAGCCTCGTCTTCACTCCGGTTGCGCGCCTCTTCTTGTGCTGCCATGCCCCGCTCAAACTCTTTCTGCGCTTCCAGGTCCAGCAAGGCGTCACGTTCTGCTTCTCCTGGGTCGTCGTCCAGCTGTGTGGGGTCGCTCGCCCCGGAAGTGGGCCATGTTCCCAGGTCCACGTCTCTGTCTTGGCTATCTCCCGTTGGCACCACTCCTCCATGATGCCATTGCAGTACGGCCGCCAGGGTTGCCCCGCACAGGTGGTAGACTTCTCCCTGAAGGAAGCCACGTACCGCCGCGAGGTTTTGTGTAGCCTGCTCCACGGTGATCGCGTGGGCGTGGAACGGTCGTGGGGTCTCTGCCGCCCCGGTGGCGAGCTGGATGACATCAGCAGCGTGGGTGCTTTCGCCCCTCCAGGTGTCCTCTCCTTCGGCCACAGTTGCCAGTCTGGAGGCAACGTGGAGGTCGTTCTGCAGCTCGAGCAGCCCCGCGAGTCCCATGGCGTCAACCCTGCTGTACACTTTATTAACTATATGGTGCACACCCCTTGCTGCTGCTACTCTGGTTCCTGCGTTGCTCTCAAACGCCCCGGGGGTGGCCTCCATGGCTGCCAAAGCACAGGAATCGCAGAGCGGCGGAATGCAATTAACAAACCACCTCTCGTAGAACTCCGAAGCCGTGTCACAGTCATCACGCGGCTGGCACTGTAGTCCAAGCTGTGCAAGCCCGTAGGACTGATAGAGAGCCTCCCAACTGATGATGGTCTTGTGGAGTGTGACGTGGAGTTCCAGAGCGGCGATGATCCCCCACCAATGAGAGGGAGACGCAATGATCAGCGGGCCTGTGGGCCTCGTGCTGCCGGCTGTTAGTCTCTGGTGTGCGTCCTCCCCGGTCATGGTGAACCGACCTGCCTTATCCACCAAAGTGCCGGCGCACACTGTGGTGGTAAAGAGGTCAATGAACACGCCGAGCTCATTGTGGTGGCTATAGAAAAAATTGAACAGGGTCTCGGCCTGCTCTTTGGTTCGGGCCAGCTGCTGTAGCAACACGTCCGTGGTGAGGTGTGTTCGCTCTCTGACCCCCGCCAGTGATAGCAGGTTTGCTGCTGCTTCTCGGAACAGGGAGGTGGTCCCCCGCGGCCGCTTGCTGGGGGACGCTGCGTCACTGCTGCTGCTAGGGGCTTGGTGCACGGTTCGCCATTCCGTCAACATGTTGAGAAGGATAGCAACATGGTATGTTACTGCATGTGTGTCGTCCCCTGCTGTTTCGAAGAGCAGGTCGCGTAGCATGTTGATGACCTCGTCAAGCGATGGTGTCGGTGTGGCTCTGGGTTCACTGTTACGCCCCGGTCGCTGCATGAGGCTGCTGTGGTCAGGTCTGTTGGTCGGGTCAGGGCTGGTAGTGCTTGCTGTGGTGTTGTCCGGTGGGGTGACGCGGTTGCCGAGTGGCCTGCTGTCTTGGAGGATGCCCAGGAGGCTTGTAGCGGCTGGCCTGGAGGCTTGCTCCTGACGTGGTTGGCGGCGGTTTGTCGGCTGCGGCTTGTCCTCTGCGTAGGGTGCGGCCATCGTGCAGCGGGTTGGTCGGTGGTGGTGGCGGTGGTGGTGGTGGTTGTTCTCCCGTGGTTGCTGCTGTCGGTGTTGTTGGTCTGGGGACCGTGGCGGCTTGCGCGGCGTTGCCTGTGGAGGCCGGTGTGGCCTGCTCCCCTGGGCTGTGGTGGTGGCTGTCTGTGGGCTGGGGGGCTGTCCTCCACGACTGTCTGGCTCGCCCCGCTGCTTGGACTGGCTGCGTGTAGGTCTTCGGCTGTGGTGGCGCTGGTCCCCCCGATGTCCTCGCACTCCGCTTCTTCGTTAAGGTGAATGTCGATCACCCATTCCCCATCCTGCCATATGTATGTGAGGACGTCGCCGCTGCAGAGGATGGCAGCGTTGAACTCGTAGCTTCCGGGTGAGGGGGCTGAGATTACCTCTGCCACATACATCTGCGGGTCGGGCCTGGTGAGGCTAAGGGTGGTCCCGATCGAGATGGGAGGTGCGTGCCTGGGCGACGGTACCGGGGGCTATGGTACGTAGGGGCTCCGGCGTGTTGGCCCAGTGCCTCGATCTCGTGTTCGGGCTTGCGTCTGGGGTGGTTCTCGATGTTCACCAGCCACCAGGGAGGGCTGTTTGGTGTGCCCTGCTCCTCTGCCACGATTCTGCCGACCGCCCACTTGTTGGTCGGGATCGTGGGCCTATTGATGAGGGTGTTGCTCGCCCCTTTGGTCGGTAAACCGCCCCTTCTGGCAACGCCGGGGTCTGTCGGTGGAGCTGCTGGCAACTAGTGGCTGTTGGGTCTGCGGTGAGTAGTGGTGGTGGTGGTGGGTCTGTCCTCGGTCTGTGTTTGGTGGGGTGGGCTTGCGTGCGGGTGGCTGCTTGACTTGTGGTGGTGTCGTGGGCCGTTGTGGCTGTGTTCGAGGCTGCAGGTGCGTGAGGCTGCGGCTGCTTGGGCGGCGGGGGCTGTCTCGGCTCCAGGTGCCTGTTGCTCGCCCCTCGTCGGAGATTTGTGGTAGCTGTGTACGTCTGGCGGGCCAGGTCGGGTCTGAAGGATGCCCCCCGGCCTGTGCCGCCTCTGGGCCGAGGCCCAGTCGCTGCAGCTGTACTTTGACTGCTCGTTTGGTGGCTCAGCCTCCTCCGCTCTCCTCCAGTCGGCGGCTTCTCTGTCGTTGGGCTGGGCGCCGGCCTGCTTCCATGTGGTCTGGTAAGTGTGGTTGCTGCGGTGTGTCGGTCGCGGCTGATCCCGAGCCTTGGGGTTGGTTGGGCTCTGGGGCTGCTGATTGGGGCTGTCTGTTGGTTGTGGTGGTGAGGGGGCTGCCGTGGTTGCTGTGGCGTCGTCCCGTGGTTCCTGAGGCTTGGTTGGGGCTTGCGCTCTGGACGGTCTGTTCGTGGTGAGTGTCTCCCCGGCCCTGGTTGTCGGCGTGGGTTGGGGGGTCTGGGGTCGCTGGTGGTGTGGTGGCAGTGGGCGTGGCAGATTCGACCAGGTTGCCAGCGAGCAGCGGGAGCTCAGGTAGGTCAGTACAGGTATTCGGCTTGGCGCATGTTGTCGAGTGGGGGGGCGCCGGGGGGGGGCCGGCATACCTGGGGCTTCGGGCTGTGGTGGAGCTTGGTCTGTTGGTGGAGTTGGTTGGGTAGTTTGGTGTGCCTCTGTGTGGTGAGTGGTGACAGTGGACTCGGTGTGCGCCGGGCCATCGGGTTGTTGTGGCGCGGGCCGAGAGCGCCACGGGGGGTCTGCATGGGCTGCGGCTGCCTGGGGTGTCGTGTCAACGGGGTCACGGCGTTGGCCCGGTGGCTGAGGTCCCTGCGTGTGCTCGTTTCGGGGGTGGGTGTTGCCGTGCTTGCCGCCAGTAGTAACAGGTGGCCCAGGCCCAGCAGGGCGGCTAGGCATGTACATGCCATGCACTTGGCTCGCATCATTAGTTACGTGTGTTCGGCTGTAGCCCGGAGGCTGTGCGTGTCTCTTTGAGTTCGGCACTGCGGCGGCGATCGAGGTTCCAAGGCGCTCCGCGTGTCTGTAGGGCTCGGCTTCCTACGGCTTGGCTTGGGCTTGTAGTACTGGGTCTTGTAGTAGAGGTCGATGTCGGGCTGCAGGTAGAGGTCGGAGTAGGGTTCACGAGTAGCGAGGCTGTCGAGGCTCTAGGAATGCAGGTAAGTGCTGGTACTGGGTGGCAGAGATGTGTGCAACATCAACACGTTCTTGGTGTAGTGGGACAATATCCATGCAGTGGTACTGGTAGAACGGCGTCGTAGTTGGGCATGTTGGCAAGGGCATGCATCATGAAACTGTGGCAGGCTGCGGAGCATTCGGCTACACTGGCGAACTTCGTTTTCACTCCGACATGCACAGGCTTGGGGCGTTGCTGGCACTCGCCCCGCTCTGAGAGGCGGGGGTCATCCGCTCGCTCACCCCTTGGGTGATACTGTATGGCGTACGAGGCTGAAAGTTGCGGACCGGCGTGAGGTTCGTCAAGCTGGCTTGCCTCCCGCTCGCCCACGGTGGGCCATACTCTTCGACATAAGCGTCTTGCAACAGTTGCCATTGTTCACGGTCTTGTGCTACGGACATCCAGTCGTAGCCCCCCACTTTGGCGATGCTCCTCTCCACGTCGAGAGCTGAGTTGAATCGGGATCCGTGCGAGATCCCCGCCGGCTCGGCTTCCTCCTTCCACCATTTCAGGTTTCTCCACCGTAGCAGTAGCAGGTCGTATAGGTGGGCCCCGGGCGGCGGGCCGCGGGCCCGTGCAACTTCCAGATCTGTTGCAGCGCATAGGTGGACCAGCGAAGTTGCCCACTTTGGTGTAGGACCACTCTGGCAGCTCGCATCGTTCGAACTTGCCATTGTGCCCACGTCTCAGTAGCCAGTCTCTTGGCGCCCAGCACGGTGCGTAGGCACCCCAGTTGGAACGTGTTGGCTGACCGGAGTAGGCTGGCATTGTTCGGCCAGGTGCCGCATCCCCAGGTCGCCGAGTTCCGAACCAGTGTCGTCAATAGGGTGAGTCTCGCCCCGATAGGTGTTGGGGCACACAGCAACTTGCGGTGCGAGTGAAAGGCCCTGCGCCCCCTGGCCTGCATATCTGCCAGTAGGGCAGCGACTCCACTCTTCTCAAAGGTGAGGGGTGAGCCCAGTGTGGTCATGATGTCCTCTGGTCGCCCCGGCTTGACTCGCTGGCCTCCCACTGTGAAGACTGTGTCGTCCTCCACACTGCATATGATCTGAGTCTTCTTCACATTGACGAAGTTGCCTTTGGGGGCGAGCTTGTCCTCGAGGTAGGTCTGGGTCGTCCAGCAGCTTCTCCTCCCATCCCGTAGGTCTCTTCAGCCTCTTGAGCTGCTTGAAGGCCCCCCAGTGCATGGTGCTGGCGGCTTCCGCCAGGGCTGCGGTGTGCCGCTTGCACTCCTTCTTCCTCATCTTCGCCACGTCTTTCCATGCCTGCCGCTTTGTCGCCCCGGGGGCGGCATGGAGTGCGCGGCGGCGCGCCGACTTGAGGTCAGCGCTCTCCTTAAACCCTTGTAGTGCTTTGTACGTCTTGTTCTGGATGGAGTGCGCGGCGTCAACGATGACACGGTATGGGTCTCCCTGCCACGGCCCCTTCTCCAGGAGCGCCGCCACTGTCTCCGGAGCCAGCTGGCCCCACGTCAGAGCCCGTCGGTCCGGCCGGCCCCGCGTCGGCTGTAGGAGTGGCACCCGCGCTACCTCGTGGTCGCTAAGCACCATGTCGCGGACCGACAGAATCCCCGAGTCTGCTCGTACGCCCCGAAGAAGGATGTAATCTAGGCGCCTCGGCCTCAGGGCCGTATTGTAGGGAAAGTGGCTCGGCAAGTGTAGTTGCTGCTCCGGCAGGTAGAGGTTGTGCTCCATGGTCCAGTGTAGCACGGCGTTGCCCTGCCCCGTGTCGCGACGAGCCTCCCGGCCGTGTAGAAGAAGGCCTCGTTCGCGTCCAGGCCCAGCAGCGCTTTCTGGTTGTCCAGGGCGGGAGTCTCCGACCATGCCCCGAGCAGGTTTTCCACTTGCGAGACTGTGGCATGATGTGGGATGTGTCCACTCAAGATGCCAACACGTCTCCCAGCGGTCAGGCGCAGGACCGTGTACACACTCCCTGCAGTGTGCCCGGAGTTCTCGTGGTCCTCGAAATGGTCTTGGTAGGCGATAGCCTCGCCCCTCCAGTCTGTTGCAGCTCTGCCATATACTATCTTCCACTGTTTGCTCACATGAAAATGAATTCCAGCCTCCGGCACTATCATCTCTTGAAGAAGCAGCACCGAAACATGTTGAAGGTCTTTGTGCCCCGACAGGTCTGCGAGAAGGTCCGAACATCGCTGTATGTCCAGCCCCCCCACGTTCCAAGTCACGGCACTGAGCTGGTCACCATGTTGGTCACCGTTGCTCTCGTGAAACTCAGCCTCGAGTGCGTCTTCTCAGCGCAGGGCCGCCCCGAGGGGCTTCCAGCGCTCGGCAAGCTCTGCTTCTGTGGTTCCAAGTTGGCGTGCTGCTTGCCCCAGGTCGATCCACGCTCCCATGCTTCCCGCCGTTGTCGCCCCAACAGGTGGGCTAGTGACTGCACTGGCGATTCGCACGGAATGGTACCACACGGTGCCACTGGACCACTCCGTGTCTATGTCTGCCTTGGCCGCTCCGCTTTCTAGCAGGAGACGCTTCGTCTTGGATGCTACCATGGCTCTGCATCTCTTTTCTGGGCTTTGAGACAGGTGCAGCCAAAGCTTCCTCGCCTGTCCATCATCTCGCTTGCCGAGCTCTATGTTGGCATCCAACACCCGCTGGGTCGCGCCCCGCAGGCGGTCTCGAAGAGCTTGCTCTCCTTCTCCCGGCTGTGGCTGGTATGGGATGATCACGAAGCCCCGGCGGATGCCGGGGCAGAACGCCTCGCTCATGTCGAGGTCGATGCGGAGGTCTGCCACCATCTATCTCGCTGCCGCCAAGGTGGTTCGCTGCCGCCAAGGTGGTTTCTGCCGCCTGGTCTTCGCTCCATCCACCCATCACCATAGCAGGCCTGCGACGTTCCGACTCTTCGGCAGTATGGACCCCCAGGACGAGGACAGAGTCTGGGGGCGTTGTTCCAGCGCCCCAAGGCGTGCGGCCAAGAACTTGTGTTCGCTCTGCAAGTCCTTGATCGCCCCGCCTTGTTCATCCTGGGTTGCTGTAATGTTCTTGAGCATGCGGAGAGTGTCCATCAGCTGGGAGGTGACGGTCTTCTCCACCACCTCCACTCTCTGGACAACTGCCAGGGTGATCTCTTGTTTGAGCTCTGCATTGTTTTGTCGTCGAAGGTCTCGCATGGCATCGATGGTAGCTGCCCCGGCACTGTGGGCTTCCTCGTTGCGTCCTCTCTTAGCCGGCGAGCCGGCCGGGCCTGGTCCTGCCGTCAGATCTGCTGCCCCGTTGCATGTCCCGCTCGCCCCGACCTGGCTTGGAAGCGAGTCTGGGCTGAGCGCCTGGCTGCTCGGCACCTCCGGCGTGTTCATGGCGAAGAGTGCGAGGTCACCGTGCTGCAGATAGCTCACGATCACGACAGTGAAGTACTCCCTCACCCAGTGTACTCGCCCCGGCTCTCCCAGCGTGGGTCAAGGGGTGGATCGCCCCGGCAATGGCGAGGACCTGTAGGCCGCCGAGAACCTGCAGGTCGATGGTGTGCTTGTCCCTAAGGTTCAGCGCAAGGCCACCGAACAGGAGCAAACCTGCCGAGGTCGCGGCTGTCGGCCCCGATGGTGAACACGCAAAGTGGGACAAGGAGGTACTCGGGCTCGCACGCTATGCACGCCCCGGCTGCGGGTCTCTCCCTCAGGCTGCCCCCGGGTTTGAGGTCCTCTCTCCTTGGTACGTGGCTCGGACCTTGAGCACTCGCGGCCTTGAGCCAAAATGGCTATGTTGGGCTCTCTCTCTCTCTCTCTCTCTTTCTCTCTCTCTCTCTCTCTCTCTCTCTCTCTCTCTCTCTCTCTTGCTTGCTTGCTTGCCAGGCGTGTGGAGGTGCAGGGACGGGCCCTGCAACCCCTGCGCGCGAGCGCTATGCCGTTGTCTGAGTTTGGTGTGAAACTAGTTTCGGGGTTCGCGCGCTCTCTCTCTCTCTCTCTCTCTCTCTCTCTCTCTCTCTCTCTCTCTGCAAGGCCAGGAAGCTGTAGTGCAGCTGTAGCTGGCAATCGAGAATGTACTTCTCGTTCTTCGCGTGGGCTTTCCGGCGGCTGGCTGAATCCCCAAACTGCAAATACGCTTGTGGCATTCCTTGCGGGATTGAACTGCTGAACTGCAGAAATCTTGTCCTTAACACCTGACTCCTAATTGCATCTGTGAGACGTACCGTGCCATCAGACTTTGGGAAGTGCAGCTTGACCTTGAGTAACCATGTCTGCATTCCAATTCGCTACTAAAGCCCTTTGTCGCATCCACAAGCTTCTAGATTCTAGTCTACAGTCCACAAACACCAGACCACTGTCTGCACAAAAACGGAAGCATGAGCAGATGCCTGCGCATGTGTAGTATGCAAACAGCTCAGGTCGGGACCAAATCACACTGCTCGAACTCTTCAAGCAAGGCTTGTGGAGTGACGTTCTCAGGCAACAGAAAATCGGACAAGACAATGAGCATGACTGGCAATCAAAGCTCCATGAGGTGGATAGACGAGATCAGACTTCAACACAGACAGGAACAGCGGTCCTGACTAATGCGGCATTTCATAAAGTACTCCGGACCTCGGTGCAGGGTGTCACAAGCGCATTCAGGTAAACAAACTGGTCCTATACTACTGCACGCACAAGGCTGCAATTCCAGTTGTAACATCCCAGACGAGATTGTACGACGCAGCATTGGGCACCGAAGAACTTCTACGTATCTGCCATGATGGTAATTGGATCTCGCTGGTAGCGGGTTCAGTTTTGACGTGCTTCGAACAGCCTCAAAGACAGGCCACAGTGAAGTGAAACGAAGTGGTGGTAAGGGCTCGAATGGATTCAACGCTCCCAAGACTAATTTCGACTCCCGACGTCGAAAATTTCGCATAATCACATCAAACCGAGCAGCTCTGGTTGGGCGGCAAACACTTCGCCCATCGGCCAGTTGACGTCAGCCTTCCAGCCAAGGGTTGAAGGTGCGCGCCTTTTAAGGACGTGTTCAGATACATCAGGCTCTGGCTCTCCTGTAGCACTGGAACTGTCTCATCTGTGCAAGGCCAGGCCAAGTGGCACATTCAAGGCGTTGTGCATCTCGTCTGTAATCCGCTTTTTGCCAGCTCGGCTGCACTTTCCTGTTCAAGAGTCGGCTGAGCGAAGGAACAGCCATCACACCCCCCCCAATGCTGGTTCATCGCCGTCTATATCGCATCAGGGCCTGCAAGGTTGTGCTTGAGATCGAACGGATCTTCCAGATACCACTGCTCTTCGTTCGTCGGGAGCGACCTTGACACTGAGGCTCGGAATTCGGAAGCGTCTGCAGACATCGGCACACTGCAATCTAGCAGCAATGAGAACTTGTCGACGGTCTGTCCAGGTTTCTGCCTGAAGACTGGAGTTGGCACCACGACACGCGTACTTCGCACAAAGCGACGCGAGGCAGCAATGCTGCCTCATCTCTCCGGTCTGAGGCGGCAGCAGGCGCATGCAGACGGCATGCTGCCTCCAGTTGAACTCGCGCGTGTAGAATCGGAAGAAGCCCACAAGCAGTTCGCCTGGGATACGGAGAACTGCATTTGCTCTGATGTGCAGCAGAGCAATAAGAGGACCCCGTCATGAATCTCGGGCTCGTTCCAATCGTCATCTGATTCTGCGACTTCGGGACTGTATCAACCTGAGCTTGCAGGGTGCTTTCGCTAACCCTCTTCAGCTCCAGCGGCTACACCAAGATGAGAGCGAGACATCGACCAAAAATTTGGTCTCCCAGATGTCCTCGCCGCCCCACTTGCCTCAGGACTTCCCAGTGGGCTTGCCCTTTTCGAGGCACCGTTGAAGCAAAGGTGCGGTCTGACACAGGAACCGACTCACAGTCCATGGCCTGTAGATTTTGCACCTCAGAACTCACAGCAGCGCACAGCAGCGCACAGCAGCTCACGGCTCTCAGCCGGCTGAGGCCGTCCGAGCCCGGCTCCCATTACCATGAATTCTGAATCCCCAAGGACCTTGCACTATGCCACGATGCACCCGAGTTGCAACCGGCGGCTGTACCTGCTGGAGGAAGAAAACCACCAAGAGCATGTACGCATAGCCTGAGGTTTCTCGGAGCCTAGATTTCAGTACATGCTGGGAGTGTGCTTGCGTGGACAGCTTGTGTCCAGGTTTCTTTCTGAATGTTGGACTCTGTTGGCTTAGATCTAACAGTACACTCAGAATAAGCAAACTATACGACAACCCTGTCACACAGGCCGCATGCTCCAAACGAGCTCAACATGTAGGACGGACACACCCCCGGCAAAAGGATCTTCTTAACCCAAGGAGACTGCTCCGATACTGCAGTGCCGAGACAGGTAGTTCGCTCGACGAGACTCGTCGACCGAAAAGCGCTGAGCGCACCATTTGGCGGAAATAAATTCGCCAAGTCTACATTGCAAACCAAATAATTCAAAAAAAAGCTTCTCCACGTAGTTCTGCAAGGCAGGGCCGGATTCTTGTCTTACGAACACCCTTGCTGACTCTGCACGGGCTGTGGACGCGGACCGATCTGGTAAAGCAAATCCGACGAGGCAGGATGGTGCAGCTGCAGAGCCCAGCAATGCGAGCTGTCGGACACTACAGGATTAATGATGACAATGACTTGAGAACCGCCGAAAGAGAACTGGCCATGAAACGGGTAATTGCTTCGACATGTCACGGACGCTCCACGAGCACCGTGCAGCTGCATTCTGATTACACGCCATGCATGACGTGCCCGAGTTCCGCATCCAGCAGCCCTCAACTTTATCCTTGTGTGACTAAACGGGAACGAGTCCTGGAAGCCGCAATGTATCCGAAAATCCCACTACGATCATCTGAAACCCTTCGCCAAGCAGCTGTTCAAGCAGCCGTCTGCAGTCCCGACGAGCTCATGCTTCTTTGCCCACTCCTTTACCAAGCGGCCGAGCTGGAGGACACGGTGGTCGTACTTGCAGTACCTCGGAGGACGGCCAAAATCGAGGAAGGCCGCCCTTGACAGCATTTTTTTTGCAAACGCTACAGTAGCTGATTGAGGCAGGCAAAGCAAGGTACGTGTTGAGCAGCAGGGAATTCCTGACCCCCAGCTCGTTGTTGATGCAAAAATCCACCTGCAGTCTGGCTGGGGCAGGGCACCCATGCTAAACGCAACGGCCCTGTCGGCCTCCATGTTGTCCTTGCGGTCGGTCAGCTTGAGAAGGGGCACATTTGCCTGGTTCAGGCTTGAAAAGAGACACCGACCGCTTTCAAGAAACGGTTGCAACATTATAGAATATGCGTGCAAAATTCAACGCCGTACAAGTATGCAGCTCAGCCACATGCAAGTCCTGTGTTCTCTGAGGGAATCAAATCCCGCTAGCCCTCAAAACAGGACTTTGTCCCACCTGAAAGATCTTTGTAATGTTGTCAAAGCCGAGGCCATCCAAACGATCAGAAAATTTCCTAAGGTGTTGCAACTCGCAGAGAAATGTAGAATCTAGGCACATCGGACAGAAGGATCTTCGGCAGACATGGGAAGACAAACCCCAACAAACTCTGTTTGTCAAGTCCTCCAAGCAAGACATTCCCTGCATACCGGGCGTCTGCAGGATGGAGATGGCACTCTCATCCACAGCTCCCACAAAGACAACGTCCAGGTCCGAGGTCCCGGTCTTGAAACCGTTCGAAAATGAACCAAACCTTATGGCCGGGAGAGACGAGAAACGCGACAACAGCGCTGCGATGCGGGGCATTGCAGGGCACATGCAGCAGTTACTGCAAGCTGGGAGCATGTGAACCGATCCATTCAGCCCCAGCTGTCCTTGGTTCAACGTGCTCTCGGAGAGTGCAACCTGCACTATTGCGTCGTTCTTGTATGCGAAGAGTTATGCGCAAGCGGTCAGCGGCTTCCTGACCTTCCTAGCAACATGAGAAGGGGCGACTGGAATCTTCTGAAGACAGGGTGCGAGCCAGCCCATTCAAGGTCAGGTTGATCCTCTTGGCAGCTTTCTCGCGCTGACCAGTTCGAGCACCGGCCCGCAAAAAGTCTTGAAGCTCCTGCAAGACTACCGGAACAGCGGACATGGTGGGCTAACGTAAATACCGAGAAACATGATCGGAAAGCTAGGTGAGTAACGATGAGAAAACATCCAGGGCAGGGCCTCCGAGAGGCACGAAAGTCTCTTGCGTTCGGCCTCGTATTCGGCCACCATCTTCTGGATGTCAGCGTCCGACATTGCATGGCACTGCCGAGGGGTCAGCACGCCCTTTTGCAACAGCGCCTTCCTTGCTTTCCTGATTTTTCGAGTCGGCCCCCGCGCACGCTCTGCTTTGCATTTCGACCGCTTGGACGTCGTTGGCGTCACCATGTCGGAGTCCTCCGATTGCGGGTCGTCGTCCGGCAACTTCGTGCTCTGGTCGGTCTGCGAGAGGATATCCAAGGTCTTCTTGTCAGGCTTCTCGGTGCTGCTGCCAGGCTTCAAGGTTTAGTTGTCGAAGGGACGAAGGGACGGAGGTGATGCCAATGATGCTACGTAAATACATATATATGCTAGCCCCCCTCCCATTGACCTACCTTTGTTGGGGGTCTCAGGAGCACGGAATAGCAATGACTCATGATTCGAACACAACAAAGACTTGAACCGAGACAGATATGGCTTTGCTGCAGCATACCAGAAGCACACTTCGCGTGACGATGCAACAAAGTTGTCGCGTGAGTCGCTGGATGACGTGTGGAGTCTCTCAAACAACAAAACTGAGAGCACACCTTCTGGCTTCTGGATGGCAGGATGATGTGCAGAGTTTCTCAAACAGCAAAACTCAACTCTGGGTTTTCACAGAGCAGGGCGCTTTGCGAACCCTGCGGTGTACTCCCGGAGGAGTGCACCTGTGCATGCCCACAGATCCTCGTTGCGGTGCCAGTATTCCCACTGTGCACTGCGAATCTGCACTGCGAAAAGGGAAGATCCGGCTTTAGCCCGTTGGTTTCTCGGCAGGCGCTCCTTGATGAAACGCCAGGCCCGATCGATGATCTGGGTCTCGGCTTTTGTTTTAGTTGTGCGTCCATCAGGAAGCTTATGCGAGGACACCTTGACAAAGGTTGGCTTCTTCCAAACCCATTTGCCCGCTCTTTTCACACGCTTCTTCTGGTGAATGACAGCATCATGCAGCATTCCCGGCACTTTCATGCGGCAGGAGCGAGCTGAATCAGAATGCAGCATGACGCGGCGGTTCTTCAAGTACTTGTCCTCATAGCTCCGGGTCCGGGAGCACGAGAAACAGTGACCGCTGGGTTGAGCTTCACGAGAACCAAGGTCTTGGGACATCCCCGCTGCACCAATCCACCCCATTGCTCCCAAAGTGTGTCTTTTTCTGGCATTCAAGTCCGCGTCCGAAACTTCCCATGGCTCCAAAGTCTTTTTGTCGGAGGTGGCCTCATCCACCTTGACATCTCGCCATGCACGGGGGGGCACCGCCGAAAGTGATAGTCTTCTCGACTTTGAGAACCTGGGACTTCCGAATGAGTGCGAAGCTCATTTTCTCGATGGCCTTGTGATTGATGTGAGTGACCAAATGAATGACACTGAGAGGGACAGAGCAAAGGCGAAGGAGAAGTGCTGCTGACCGCGTTTGCAGAGAATGCCCCTCAGGACCCGGCGTTGCAGTGAAGATCGGATGCAAATGGATAGGGGAGACGTACTGCTGGCAGTTTTTGTTGCAGCGATGCCAGAGTCCGTTTCGACCAGCATGTTCTTGCAAAGTGCCAAGAACTCCTGCTTCACATTTGGGGCAAACTGCTCCAGACCATTCTGGCAAGAACTTGTCCTTCTTTAGAATCTTGATGATGCCGGTGTCACTCCCTTTGATGAGCTCCTGGATTGTGCGGCGCCATTTGGTTTGATCTACACGGAGACAGCCGCCGCCTTGCGAATGGCGCTGATAGGCAACCTTGTTCCAGGAGGACGTCTTGTTGCTGACGGGCTTCTTGAGGACCATTCGGCCGACTCCTCTCTTGGGCGCTGGGAAAGGATTAAAACTCTTCACCATGGCTGCTAGTCAGAATGTGGAAGCCTTCAGCTTTGATCTCAAAACTGCTGGGGTATACGGAATGTCCCATGGACAACGACCATTTCGACGCGAATGGCATGAGAGTCAGAACGCCGAGTGAATGACAAGATGCGTGCTCATTTTCTTCCGCAAGCAGGCGCGTGTAGTCTGTATGCGATTCGACGCTAGAGAAAACAGACCTCATATTTTTTTGAAAGTGCTCGGTATGATCCGCACCTGGTTTCTTGGCATCAAAATCCTCCTCAATTGCCCGTATCAAAAGTGTTCAGCTGATGTTTACGACGACCTTACTATACTAACTGTGTTTAAGGGATCAACTGGGGAAGTGCCATGGTGGGATTTGGTGGAGAAGCCTTCCAACTCATTCAGTGCCGAACTCACCTTTCGGCAAAAGCCCTGATGTAAGCGACTCAGACTTTGTAGTCTTGGTCTGCAGCCTCTTCGAGTTGCTGAGTGAGATTAGACATGGGATCGACGATCTGTTCCTGGCCTCCTCAATGTCCATAGGCTCTCCTGGCGATGTCGCCAGGGGGGCCGATGGGGATGCAGCGAAAGCCCGAGGAGATGTCGCCGACGCGTCCGACTGGAGGGATTTCGCGTTGATGTCAGGGGATGCCGCGATCATTGTCGATGGTGCTTTCGGAATTGCCTTGGGAGATGCCGCAGTAGCCTTCGCAGATGATGCAGTACCGTTCGGAGATGCCTTGTGAGATGCCGTAGGTGCCTCGTCCGAAATGGTGATGCAGAGGGAGAGCTGGCTTAGTTTCTTGCGGAATGTGCGAAACTTCTGATTCACTTCTTCGGGCTCCTTCTTCACGGGAACCCCAGAATGAATAACTAGAAGCTCGGCTCACCTTGTTGCCTCCGAAGGTAGGCTGTCCTGGTGCGCATGCCACATCTCGAAGCTTTATCGAGGGAAAAAGCGAAAACTTCCTCAGACCCCTTTAAACCAGGGAGGGCAGGGCGGGTTCTTTGAGCCCCGGCATCGGATCACCTCGCTTCTAAAGGTCAGAAGCTCGGCTCACCTTTCTGCCTCCGAAGGTAGGCTGTCCTGGTGCGCATGCCACATCTCGAAGCTTTATCGAGGGAAAGCGAAAACTTCCTCAGACCCGAAAGTCCCCAGAGTTCCAGCACCAGGTACAGTGTTAAAGGTTGCGCCAGAGGGAAAACCACATTGCCGGTGGTATGCCGGCCCCATTCCAAGCCTGAGCTTTTCGGAGAACTGCAGGAAAGGCCGAGGAAGCAGCAAGGATCTTGTCCTTGCTGTCACTAGGGAGGCTCGCGACGAAAGTCGAAGCCGAAACCTCCTGGAGATAAATCTCCATCACCCGGTGGCTGACCCATCTTCCGCGTCTTCGAACAAGCTCACTGTCTTCTGTACACTGCAAAATATATGTCGCTCCTCCAGGCCTGAGGGAGCCGAGATCGAGAGGCTTATCAGGTAAGCTTCCCGATCGCGACATCCCAAGGCGGGCCAGCACGTCGTAGAGCCGCTTCCTCAAGGTCTGGGTAGAGAAAGGCCAGAGTTTAGCTGTCCTAGGCAGACGGCAGAACGCAAGTCTACAGACTTCCAAGAGGTCGATGGGCTCGAGCTTCGCACTCTGGTGCTTGGCTGCTCTGGCCCTTGTCTTCGGCTCGAGGATCCTCAGCAACAAGTAGCTTTGGCCCCACAAAGCGTCCTCGGGGAAGACGAGATCTCCTCTTGTCGCCTTGCAGGCTTCCCCTGCCCTGAGAAGGGCTCCCCAGCAGAGCGCGAACAAGCCGGCTTCACGGAGCCAGCCCCAGAGCAAACAGGTCGTGAGGACAGCCCTCAGCAAGCCACGTCATCGCGAGGTCCCAGGCTCCTTGTACCTGCCGCCTCAGCGCAGGACGCAGTGACGTCACAGAATTCACCGTTTCGGCAAAGTGCCAGTATGGGCGGCCTGATAAAGGTCCCGCCCGTAGACAATTAGCAGATCACCAAGGTGTTCTGGGTCAAAGGGCTTCCGAGCAAGAACTGTGTCTAGCGGGACGCCAGTGACTTCGACCAACCATTGCGAAAAGGCTGCGGTGAGGGTGCCCCTATTAGCCTTAGTCCTAGGTTGAACCGGCCTGCCGAGGGGGAGGGAAGAAGTGCTGCGCTTGGCTTGGCGAGCGAGGTCCGCAGCGTTTCTAGGCTCGAGCCCAGCCGAGCCGGAGGAAAAGCACACGCCGCAGAGCAGGACAAGGAGGAGCAGAGGGCGAACGCGATCAGGAGGCCCTTCGCCAGGGAAACCCAAAGTGCAATCGAAGTCGAGATGATGGCTCCTGTGCTGCTGAGATTTTCCAAGGAACCGGCTCTCAGAAGGGTAATGGAGCAGAGCACAAGCGCGGGCCCGACGCCAAGGAAGAGCCTCGCCCAGTTGGCTCTGGGCCGCGAGAAGGAAGAGAGCCCGGCGAGGAGCCAGGGATCGACCCTTCGGTGCAGGCAGTACCCGGCTGGGTCTCGGCATTTAAGCTCACGGGTTGGATCATCAGCCACATTCAGCCTAGTAGGGGCAAAGGCGTGCGCGATGTAGAGGCCCCCCGCAATCATCAGGGCGGCACCTCTCCGGAGTGACGAGAACGACAGTCCTGAGGTCACCGCCGGAAACCGTGAGGTCCTTGTACAGCTGAAGGACGGCCTCGCTTTCGTATATGTTGATGTGCTTCCTCTGAAGCCACTTCCACACACGGGTGGCAACCCAGGAGGAACAGCACAAGACGTCATTGACCAATGCGCTTTCTAGGCCGGAGCGAGGAGGCGTCTCAGGAGGTGCTTGACGGAGCAACCGGGCGAGGAACCGGAGAATGGCTTCACACATGGCAGGTGGGAGGCAGTTCGGGCCAGAAGGCCCGGGATCGAGCTTCGAAGCGGGAACCTCAAACTCTCCGGGCTCAGGGGCACAAGGGACGCTGAGCACCCAGTGAAGTCGCGCGGCCCTAGCTCTGTGACCGAGTGGTAGTGTGAAGCCGCCGCTCCTGCAACACTG